CGAACCATTGTAGGTCAACTTAGAGAGATAACATGTATTTAAAAGACCATCAACTGCTCCTCACAGCAAAAAAAAAACCTCCCCCAGCCTGCACTTTGAGTGTGAGTCTGTGAAAACGCTGCACTCGTTTTCAAATATATACTGATCGAGACGTATCATTCAAAGGGCTTTATGCTTGTTGTTGATAACCCTCTACTTAGTACTTTTTCGGTGCAGTGGTTCGGACTTCTGTCTTCTGACGGCTGTAGAAGCACCAACGGACTGCGGTGTTTGACGGTCCCCCCCACAGACACACAAATATACCTGAGAGATAGCCTATCTGAGCTTTGCTACAACACAGGTAACACACAGAAAGTGACTGTAAAAGCTCCAGTGGACTCTCTGTTTCCAATGTGGACATGGAGAGTCTGACAGCAGCAGCTCATTAGCTCCGACTACCAGCTCGCTGTTTCTGTTACACTGCTGTGGTCAGTCTGCCAATCACTGCGGTCGGTGTCGAGGCCACAACCTCTAAAGTCACCGTTTTAAATTTGCTGAGAGGAAGGGAGCTAGCAGAATACTTGAAGTACTCATTTCGGTATTCTGTATCAGCAAGTAACCAAATGTCCTTCCAAAATCGACTTTATTAACAACTATTCAAAGCTTCACCAGTTCTTTATACCTTCCTTTTGTGTGAATGACTGTAGGGATAACCTGGACAGTAGCTTCTGATCACTGCATACATGACGTTCGACCCTGTCCACTGTCAGTTAATATACAGCATCAGATCGACAGAGTTGAGTTTCTGTTTCTGTTGAACTGTCTCCAGTTCTGAGAAAGTGGCCATGTTGTGGAGGAAAGGTGGGCAGTGTGATGCAAGGCTGACAGAGGAAGAATTATACTCGGAGAGGCAGTGCTGTGTTGTAAGCAGCACCCTTGTCGTGGTGCCAGGGAGGGTGTCAGAGGGCAGAGAGAGGGCAGAGAGAGGGCAGGGTGGCACAGACTTCACCAGCAGACATTGTCCGCAGCAGCGAAATGCTGTGTCAGCCCCCAAAACAAATGACTCTCTCTGTCTGAGGTTTTACTGTTTGCGTATGTCTGACTTTCTTTTTCAGTGTTTCTTCTCAATGATGCTGATGTGATTCATCAATTCCCAGCGTGCCCCTGCGTCTCTGTCTGAAATGAAAGAACAAAATCAACATCCCTTGTTCCATTGAATACCTTACATTGGCTTTCTCTCACTTTGGTTTTTATTGTTTAGTCTTCTTTTTAATAGATCCTGTCATGTTGAATGGGACACTGCCCTGCTTAATTTGACTGATAGTCATGGAGACGATTACAGTATCAGGCCTTTCTCTGCATCCTCTCTGGTTCCAGAGAAAAGAGTCAGGAATTACAAAGAAATAAGGAGGAAAAAGAGGTGTTGTTATCGCTGTGTAAGGTTTCTCTCTTCTGTCAGTGTAATAGCCTCAGTTTAACCGCTCTTCTCCTCATTCCTGCTCCACTCCTTTTTTACTCCACTTGGATGAGGTTAGCACTTTCCCCTCAAGGTTCAGGGTGTGAGTGACTTTGCTAGGGGAGGAGGGAAGGTCTGACATTCGTGGGAAAATTTGCTCATCCTGTCCACTTTTGAATTTAATTCATCTTGCTGCGCTGTGAGAATGTTTTCTTCGGGTTGTGAGCGTGCTGCATTTATTTGTAATTGTAGATGTCTTAACATTTATTTACCCTGGGTTTGTTAGTTTCACACTTACCACAATTACCTGTTACTCACCCTCTGTCTCTGTCTTGCTGGATCAGGTCTACTTGTGTAATAGGCAGCCCAGTGTTCCTCCAAGCAGTTGACCTTTGACCTGTTTTGGGTGGAAGTACTGTGACCCCTCTTTGAGCGGCGAGAGATGCTGCGTGTTTGTTTGCAGCGAGGGGAAACTGCTCCGAGGCTGACTCCTTGACCTTTTTGGCCTCGGAGAAAGAGGTCAATGAAGCCTGAAGTAGCTTCCTTCCGACTTTAAGTGTTAAGTTTTCGTACCTTTTTCCCGCCATTCTCTTCTGATTTAGTTTTAAAACCGTTTATTTATTCAGACCTAGCTTCTGGTTAACACAGAATTTAACTTTCAATCTTTATGTTAGCTGTACTTTTTACAGAACACATTGTGACAGACAACATGATTATTTTCTAGGGCTGCCTCCAACCAAAGATTGTCCCAGTCTACTAGTAGTTAAACCCAATAGTTCACTAGTCATCGTGCATTTATGATATTAAAACATATACACATCTATGTTTTGTTAAATGCTAATGGAAAACGTGGTACTGATCCTGAATGTGTCAGAACAGTCAGCATGGAGCAACATAACATCACACAAGTTACAATGTTCAAAACATTAATAACTTCACAAAAACAAATACTCACACCTCTTCTGTCCCAGCCTCAACCCGCTGGGTTTTCGTCAGAGTCCTGGTCGGAGCCGCTGTAAATCTCTGGGACTCTGTCGGCTGTGAATCCGGTTGCGTTGGGCACTTTCCTGGGTCCGGTTCTGGTGCTCATTCTGCTGTGCTAGCTCCTATGCTTTTACTGTAAACAAACCTCCGCCTGTCCTGGGAGCCCCCAGTCCGGGTAGATACAGTTTTATAACAACCCCTCATACTTTAGTCCAAGTGACAAAGAGCAGCTCCCGAGTTTGATTGTTTTTTATCTGCGACTATCCGACTAATGAAGTGGGCCGACTAAAACTCTTCTCAGTGACTGACGGTTTAATCTACTATTAGGGTCAGCCCTTTTTAGACATTTTAGTTGCTGTTGGTTATTAAGTCTTACAAGTAGTACAAGTAATGATTAGTCAGTTTTTTTTCTTACGCTGCCAAACAAAAGCTCAAAACATTTTACTGTCAAAAGTAAAACGGTGATGTGTAAAAGCTGGCAGTGCACCACTGTTCCTGTACGCTTTCTCTCATATTTATCAGGGTGTTACTGGTTCAGGTTTTCCAGTCCTTTTGAAAATAAATGAGTTTTAATCATGGAACAATTCCTGTTCTCGGATGGACAGAGGTTTGCCTCATTCAGAGGAATGAAGGATTACATCATCCCTGGAGCAGAGTGGAGTAACTCCCTGGCTCCCCTCACACACCTCGCTTCCTCCCTCACTCCCTCCCTCCATTTAGTTTCTCCTTCTCCCTCTCGAACTTGTCTTCCCCCACCTCCCCTCTCCTTGTGTCACTCTTAGTGTAGGCTGCCTGCTGAGCTTTGGGACAACCTGGCCTAGTTCACTCTGTCTTGTACCTCCATGTTACCCATTCGCATTAGCTGACACAGATCTGAAGGTCTTTTCTTCTAAATAAGTGTCTGTTCTGTTGGAAGCCAGCCAGTGCGAAAACAGGCTGCTGGCTCATCCAGTGCCGTCATGGGAGATGTGACACACATACGTATGACCTCAGCGGCTGAGGCAAAAAATCCCCCTCCATTTAAACTTGAAATTAGTGGCAAAATTAGGAATTATTGTGATTTTTGACCAGTTAGTTCAGATTTTTTGGGATTTGTGGGATCCCACAAGCGAGTGATTCATATCATTGTGTTCTGAAAACCACCCAGCATGAAGCCTGAAGCTGTAGGTTTTTGTGGTATATTATAAAAACACAATTGAACTTGAAAAAAAAGTTAATGCACACATGCTGCTGATCTTCCTGTGAGTAGAAAGGCATAGGATGGCCAGGGTTTCCATGAGCCTGGAGACTAGTTTTCCAGTCATGGGAACACCTGGAAATTGATTAAAATAACCAAATATTGTGGAAATAATCTATGTTGTCCTGGAAAATGTTGATTGTATTTTAGCTTCTCACTCAGATCGCCTACATAAACCTGGGTGCATATTGAGTTTAAAACTCGACAGTTGGTAGCTGCGCGGTGTGAAACGGAAAAACTTTTTAGACGCTTAATTTTCATTTCACCGCTTGTCAGTCAGTCTAGTTGATTATACCAGACGCGAAGTGGGACGGACTTGCATCGAGCTTTTCGGCATTGAGTAAATTGAGACTGTTTGTGATTAAGTGCTGTCCTGAACTGTCCAGAAAAACCTTAAAAATGTCCTGGAAGGATCCTGGAAAATGATTTCTTAAAAATAGTAATTGTGTGTGTAAATGTTTGCACAAAAGTCAGTCCCATGCTGTGAGCAGACTCAAGCCTGAATTATTTAATCCCTCGATCCTGGTCATCTTTCATGGGATGAAATGAATGTGAACCTTGTTTGGAAGGCTTCAGGGTCTGTGGTCTTCCATCTACGCGGTCAGAGCTGCAGCTGTCCACTCCACCGGGCAGAGAGAGCCGTGCATCAGCACCGAGTTGACTGTGACATTGGGATATCTTTGGACAGCAGATGTATTTTCTAGTTTCACCTCATATGTCGGATTTAGAGACGAGATCCTTAGGGTTAAGAGTGACGGTGGTGGTCAAATTCACACAGACGCACATCTCCCAAGCAGGAAGTGAAACCGACCTGCGTCCTGGCTCTATTTGTGTGGCTGTCCAAAGCTGTTGCCCTGACCACTTGGTATCTATAGCCCTGGTCCAAGATGATAGGAATGGGATATAGCGGCCCACTGACTCGGACAACAATAGAGCTCCATGACCTCCAGGTTATGTATAGAGCTGTACAGCCACCACCAGCAGCCTACACAGCTCGGTGTTAAGAGTAAGAGCAAAATAGAAGGATGACAGTGCAGTGGGTCCTGCGTCTGAGACACAGGAGGCCTAAATGTGGAGTTTAAGTCAATGCTAGACCTACTGGTAAATTATATGACTGTTTGTGAGAAAGTGGTGTCCTCAATTGTCAAGGAAAAGCTTGAAAATGTCCTGGAATGATCCTGGAAAATGATTTCTTAAAAAGAGTGGGAACCCTAACTGGGGTCAGTCAGGGTCACCCACTGGCTCGCTAACATTTGAATTCATACTGTCAAGACTTTATTTTGAGCTCTGTTGAAATAAATTATCGGGTTTTTAATGCTTATTGTGTTTTGTCTCCTCCTACAGGGGTGATCAGCCAGTGGCAAGGTGAGTCTAAGGAGCGCGTCATCTCGCTCGTCCTCACCCACCTCCCTCTGCTCAAACCCGGCAACGTTGAAGCCAAGGGCGAGTACATGCGCCTGCTGCCACGCATCCTGGCCCACACCATCGAGCATGGCCACCACCTGGAGGAGTCCCGCCAGCTCCTGTCCTACGCCCTCATCCATCCCGCCACCTCCCTGGAAGACCGTGCCGCCCTGGCACTCTGGCTCAACCACCTGGAGGAGAGGGCCGCTGCCCGGGGAGACTCCCTGGAAAGGCCTCCTCCTGCTGGGCCTCATCATCACCACCACCAGTCCACGCCTCCATCCACCCTCACCTCATCAGGATCCTCCTCCTCCACTAACACCTCTTCATCAGGCAATCTCTACACATTGCATCTCCACCAACGCTACGGCTCGGACGACCGCCTCAACGGGTGGCAGAGCTCCAGGGATTCAGGGCTGGGCGGAGGCTGGCATCAGCAGCAGCAGGGCTGTGAGAACGGGCACCTCCTTCTCTACCCGTCATCCTCTGTGCCGGCAACCATCAACACAGTTGGAACTGGTGGAGGCGGTAACACTAGTAAGTGAAGTCTCCTCTGTCCTGTGCGCCTTTTACTGTGTTCAGCCGTTTTCTAATCACGTGGTGCTTTTACGGCAGTCGCACAAAGTCGGCGTGTGTGGTTTGTTCTCTGGTAGTGGCCACATAATAGCCTCCTACTACCTATTACAGTTATTACAATTCGTTTGTTTCCCTTATCCATACACACATCATGTTTTCATCAGGTATCACAGGGATAAAGATGGGTTGAAAGACAACAGGGTTGACCGTAGACCAAAGCATGTGAGCTCTGCTCCTCCGTTCAGAGTCTCTCCAGGTCTCTCCGCTCAAAACTGAACCTCAACTCAGATTCCACTCATTAAAATCACTCACTGCTCACTCCTGCTGCGTTGTATTTTAATTTGATCTTAAACCCTGTTTAAGCTGCATGATAAAGCTGAATGTGCACAGCAGGAACACACAGATGAGACACAGAGACAAAAGCCCTTCCCTGCAGATCATCACATTAACATTTCTGTAGAAGACACCTCGCTTATCCATGAACACATAATTCATGAGGCTATTATAAAGATCAGCTGTATGTGTGATGTGAAATGAGCAGAGTTGCTTGTTAAATGGCCAGACTCGTGCTGACACACAAATTAAAAATGAATGGGAAGCGTGGGAATGATCCTGGTGACACACACAGTGGTACCAGGGATACTCAGACTTTACTGAACTAAAGAAGGAACACAAGATAAGTTTGCTCTGCAGTAGACTTTGATTTACATACTGTAGACCACCAACAGAATGATAGGTGGTTACAAACTTCATTGGACCATTTAAATGGTCCATGAAGGGTTTTCACCAGTTTGCTGCAAACATTACATCATCCTTAAACTGGACCCTCATTAAATTATGAATTTGGAGACGGGATTGACCTCAAAATGATTTGAAATTATGTGTAGGGACTTACATCAGTCAAATTATTAACACATTTTTAAGAAAAAGGATAGTTCTTCAAATGCTTCACCCACATTTAGCTTGTATTCTTTCCAGGTCTCCTCTGTCATTTGCTGGAGGATCCTCTTTATTAGTTAAAATAAACATAAAACAAACTAGTACCACCACACAGAATGTCTCAAACCAGTAAGGATTGATGGCTGTCCTCTTAGATCTTCCTTGGTCACAGGTTTAATCTAATCCATCAGTATTTATCCTCCTTTCGTTGATTAGCATTGGATGGCAGGTTGATTTCCTTTGATTGCCTCATGTCAAAATGTCAGGTCACCTTCGCACATGAAATATATTGATTCTTTCTGCGTCTACTCCTTTTGTCGCATTGCAGACAATTTTTCACACGCCGGATGCTGTCTTTTGAAAAGCCTGAATTCAAGAGTGCAAAGCCTTTCACAGTTCTTTTGCTTTACTTTACTCACTGCATGTCCTTTGATAACCTTATCTTGTTCCGAAATGAGATGGGCTGCACTTCAACCCAGACTGACACGTGTACTTCCAGACTCGTGGTGGTTCGTAACCACTACACCATCTGAGAACACCTCAGTGATTACAGTCACCTACTCGGGGGGGGGGCTGATGGTAGCCTCTCTGTCTGGGCTGGCCACCTGATCGCCTGCGCTCAGGCACAATTTCACACTAGGGTCTCTAAACTTTAACTTATGTGGCAAACTGCTCAAACAAGGCAGCTTTAGTCGGTCAGTAAGGAGGTTTTTCAGTCCCCACTTGAAAGGAAATACAGTAGGCAGTTGTATTACAGCGTTTTATCTCTGGTCTAGTTAAAATTGTAGGAATTTGATGATAATGATAATATTTTCCACTAAGAACATCTGTACAGCAACAACATTTAATTCAAATGCTAAAGGCACTTTAAAAGACACGCTTCAAAAACACTAAATACACCCTGAACACACTAAATAGACTCATCATCACCGTAAACACGCTCTGGTCAGACCGACTGCACTCCGAACAACCCACACAGCAACTACAGAGGCTGTGTGAGGTGGGAGACAACACACAGAGAGGGCAGGGCTGTTGAAATTGAACATAACTATGGTCAGAGCAGGATATTTCCAGACAAGAATGCAAGGGCTCTGTTTTTTTTTTTTTTTCTTCTTTTTTTCTGGGAGATGAAAGAAACAGCTGAGGGTTTATAAATAAAGACACATTTAAAGCCCTGCTCACTGCTCCAAGAAAGATCCTCTTGTATTTTTGACTGCTAGCAGCTCCAGTCCCACACAAAAGACCTCAGCGTTTCACAACTGATAAACTACAGTTATCCCCCCTGAGCCAGTAGCCACAGGATTGGTGGACACAGCGAGCAGATGCTTTTCTTGACCAAAGAAAGTGAGAAGAAGTGTTGCATACACATGTGGAGAGATGATACAAATATGTTTCTTCACTGTTTTGGGAATCAAATCTCATTGTGCAATTCAGTGGAATACAGTAGAGTCACCTCCTACGTGCTCTGGTCATGGCGGCGATTACAGGAGTATAATTGTCCGACCACATCAACCTGTATGCGACTGATACCACATCCTGTTGACCCCCTCACCCATACTCTCAGCCTTAGTCCAAGCCGCAGCAGCACATACCACCCATCCTTTCCCTTGTAAGGCAGCCTTTGTGGGAGACTGTATTTAGGGAAAATGGCTAATATTTAGGGACTGGAACTTGTAATGTTAGCTGGGCACCTATTTTAAACGGGGCCCATGAAGTCCTATACATAGCGCAAACAGTAAGAGGACCGCATATAGGAGGAGGAGGAGAGAGGCTGCAGTATTGGTGGCAGCTCACCCCGTCAGAGTGGCGACACAAAAAGCTCTTTGGCTCTCCACCTTTTCATTCAGTTTACCTCCTTCAGCGGGAAAACACTGTGATGTTGAGAGCTGCTTTTATCAGGTTTAAAACAGTGGGGTTTGGTTGCCTCGGTTTGACCCAAATAGGTCCTCATCATGAATTCATCCTGCGCAGACTTCAATTATTAATAGAGAAATGAGGTGAGAGAAGAAGATGGAGGAAGAAAGAAGAAAGACATATTTTTTTGGCAGTGGATTGATTTAAGTGCATATCTTCAAGGTTGAGTCTCCAGACCAACAAGCAAGCGAAGGAGAGAATTTAGATTTAGACCAAGTGAATATAAACAGGAGAATACACGCATGTAATAAAAGCATCGTCCCTAATAAACGCAGGTCGGGTGTGGCCACAGCTTCTGACAAATAAACGCAGGTCTCCATTAGAGCCCTCGTCTGGATTTTATAGAAATTAACTGGTGTATAAAACCTCTTAAAACCCAACAGGTTGTGAATATTACCCCATCTGTGGCTCATAGTCTGTATGACACAGAGTAACAAGGACAAATAAAACTGAGGAGACCTGTCCCCAATAAAAGCAGGCTGAGATCAGTGATTGAACAAATAAACGCCCGGGCTATTATTAGACTGTTTACGATGTTAAAAAACGTACCTTTTGAAGATTTAACGTGCAAGTTTTGCTGGCTTTTTTGTTTATTTGTTGAAGTTGAACTCAGTGAATTGAGGGACTGTTGAGCGGACATTTTGCAGTACTCATAGATCTCAGAATATCAAAAGGATGTCTGTTTGAAGAGATGTCATTTATTAAAGTCTGAATATCAGCAGTAAAATACCAGGTGTGTGTGTGTGTGTGTGTGTGTGTGTGTGTGTGTGTGTGTGTGTGTGTGTGTGTGTGTGTGTGTGTGTGTGTGTGTGTGTGTGTGTGTGTGTGTGTGTGTGTGTCCGGCAGATGCAGCCTCCTCCCTCCAGCTGTCTCTAGTTAACTCACAAACAAATACTGCATTTTAATGTCACATCTCAGCTGGTATTACAAGTGTACTGTAGCTATGGTGATATCACGGATACAGTAAGACGCTGTGCGGTTACTAAATGCGAAGCACAAAGTGTGTTTAGGCTCTGCTCTACAAAAGACAGACAAGAGGATCAACGCTACATAGTAAAGGAACTGAAGATGACTCTAAATGTAATGTTAAAACAAACACATATACTATTTGCGCCATGTTAATCTTATAAAATTACAAATCCAGCAGAAACATCCACGGCCACCTCTGTGTATTTCCTGTCGTTCCTGATGTGAATCAGATTAGTCTGTGAATGAAGAGTTACCTGGATATACAGTAGATGACAACATGAACAGTTAATTACTAACTAAAACCTTGTGCTTCACTGCACAGGCCTCCTCGAAATGCCATATATTCTTAAATATAATCACATTTTCCTGTATTGCCAGTGGGGTAAGACAATTTTGCTTGGCTGGAAATCTTAAAACTAGTATAAAAATCAGCCACTGAAAGATGTTAATGGGCCTTAAAACTAGAAAAATTGCTTATTACAAACGATGACAACAGTTATTTAAGATAGACTTTATTACGATAAGTATTTTAGTCACTTTATTGTGCTGAATTTGTACCTTAATCTAAGATTAATAAGACACAATTTCCTCAAACAGCATCATAAAAAATAAATGATTTAAGAATAAAGGAACCAGAAGCTGCTTCATCTACAACACTGGGACAAGATGACTTTCTCTTAAACTGAGAAGTTGTGCTAGTGGACTCGATATTATGAAAACCGTTGTTACAACCTGAACTTGTTGTAAACAAAACAAGATTATTTTTCTTTTTGGACAAAAAATAAGACTAATTTCCCAGAAATAAAACATTTTTACTTTCTTGAGATTCCTTTATTGCTGTGTGTTTGACAGCTGATCATCTTCCTCCTTCCCAGGGTCGGACTCTGAATTGAACATGTGCTTGATTTTAATTATATACATAGTGTGATATATCGCATCACATTTGGTGCTAAAAATATTTGACTGAATGTTTAAGCGTCACCAAATGTACTTCATGTGCCAGTTACAGTTATTATTATGAATCTAATTTTTGAATGAACACAGTTATAAACTGTGGTCTGTAGGAAAGATAAGTCCTGTTTGGGATATTGATCCAGGCTCGCCTCAATCTTTACAGTAGTGTTGCTGTCATCAGTTGAATATTGTGTTGAGTTCATATTTTTAAACGCAGGAGTGAGTGAATAGCAGTTTTGCCAGTATGATCCCATCCGAGCACCACCCTGACTAGTGTCGTTGCTGTCTTGTAGTCTTAACGAGTGGAGGTGGCAGCCAACAGCACAGTCCCCTGAAGCGCTCCGTGTCCCTCACGCCTCCCATGAGCGGCCCCAGCAACCAGCCGCTGGGCCACGTCTGGCTGTCCCAGGAGGACCTACGGACCGCTAGAGGCCCCGCCCCAGACCACGCACCTCTCTCGCCCCAGAGCAGCATCGCGTCCTCAGGCAGTGGAGGCAGTGAGCACCTGGAGGAGGCTGGCTTAGGAGGAGGTTCAGGTCTGCATCGCAGTTCCTTCCACGAGGAGGGCAGTGGCATGAGGGGTGAGTAAGAGCAGTGTACAGTTAGTGGTACAGGTCACTATTACTAAATGTCTTCTTTAGATCTAAGGCTGCAAGATTAATTGAGATATAAATATGGCCAAGGTAAAATGTGTAATAAATCAGCTTTATGATGAAGTACTGAGGTGCTGCAGAGACGCCTGCCCTACAAATCTTGTTCTCCACATGTAAAAAAACGTATAGGTACATGTTCGGTACAGACCCCAACAAATGTCACATCAGAATGAAAAAAAAAAATTCAGTAAAAACAAAAATCGTGACGCACAATTCCCACTGATTGTGAATCATATTGCTCTCGCAGTATCTATAAAAATAATCCCAGTATGATTTTTTTTTTTACCATATCGCGCAGCTCTACTTTGGAAAAAAAAATGCTTTAATTCTGATTTCGTGGTTCTAACATTAAAAGTGACTGACACACACACACACACACACACACACACACACACTGCTGAGATGCACATGTGCAACAGGTTCAACCAAACTACTATTATCAACTATGTCTGACTTTGTGTCGCTAGATTTGGTGACTTTCTAAATACCTTTTTGGTCAGAAAAGCACTTTGTACAACAAAACCACTGTTACAGAGTACGTCCTACTTTAGGACAATTATGCCAACTTCAGCAAAGATGTTATATTTGTGGAAGATATTTTATCATTAAAAATATGTCTACTCTCTCTAGAGGCAGTGTTTAGAGGTCTTATTTGAACTCTTTGATGTAGCTTCCCAGTAGCTTCCTAAAAACTACAGAATACCATGTCCTGGCCCAAGATGGAGGTAGACAGATCAGGTTACATGAGGCAAATATTGGCATAATTAGATGTGAATATTTAAAACATTTAGTGTCAAACACTGTGTTTATACTATTGAATGAAGTGGAACTGAAGGGTTTTGTCGTTGAGGATTCATGAGGAGTGAGAAAACATCCTGGATATTGGCTCCCCTATCAGATCTAAATGCTAACAGGGAGAGAGAGAGCGAGCGAGAGAGAGAGAGAGACATGACCAGTTCAGTGGAGAAACTTTTACGACTGTTTGCTGTGTGTGACTTTCAGGCATTCAGCTAGAGGCATTGGCAAGTTGTTGATCCAGTCTGAGCAGTTTGTCAGGGGAAGCAGAGGCCAGCGCTGCCGACCCCTGTGACCTTACACTGAGACTTTCACTGTCTGCGCTGGAGTTAAACCTTTCATTCAGTCTCTGCCCCTTTTTTCTTTCTTTTTCTTTTTCAAACATTTGTCATGTTGTCATGCAGCTAAACAGGAAAGCAATGCTAACATTCCTCATCGACAGGCCCAAGAGGACAAGATATCATTTGTCAATTTCACTTTAGAGGAAAATGTTAACACAATTTTTCAGTTGTCGGTTGCTGCCAGAAAAGACTCTGGGCTGGGTGTCAAGTATCAAGTGGTGGAATAAGGAGCTTGATTTCCATTAGTTTGCAGAGCATTGACTTCTCGAGGTATAATGTAGGTGCATCATGTTCATCACAGACTTGGTTTTAAACTCAAAACTCAACTCAAAGTTAAACCCTCCGCCTGTCTGTATTATTTAATATAAGGTCGACGTCTGCTAGTGGAATAACACTTAGTAGGAAGACACAGGAGGAGACGTTCAGTGTCCATATAGTTCCTGGTTGCACAGTCATAGAGTGAGTCAAAGTGAGTCCTTAAAGCAGATGAATATGGAGCAGCAGATTAACAATGGAGATATAAACATACTGTCTGTAAATACAGCAAACAAAGGAGAAACATAAATTCATAGTGTTTATTTTGTTTCTTCTGAGTTGCACGAAAGGGCCTGTTTGTTTGTACTGCAGTTGCTGCGACTTGTAAGCAAAGAAACAACTAAACCAGCAGCAGGCTTCACTCGAAACTGCAAATAAGAACAAAAGATGTCTCAGCAACTAGCTGACACTCTCAGCAGTTTGTAATATGGAGGACAGACAGAGGAGCTGAGCTTTAGTGCAGTGAGCAGCCTGAACATGTGATCAGTAAGAATCTGATTTCTGCCAACAGCATGCATTTCTAAATACTAATATATAATATTTTAGGTTGATTTAACCTCATATTTATGCATACATACACATTTGACTAAATATGTGTTTAACCTACATTACTCTGATAAACATATGGAAGTACATATTTATTTTTGGAGCTCTATGCTTGACCATGTAGATGTAATACTCGTTTATCATTTTATGTGCATCTTTTGTTGAACTCCTCAAAAATGTTGCGATTGAATATTGAATTATGTGTTTGATCCACCAGTATATGTGAGCATTCAGTATATTAATAGACCAATGATATGTCTATTTAATCTGGGATGATGTTTATGATGAGATCTAAAGATGTATTCCAACACTATTCTCTTTAACTGATGATTTGTTTTTTATGTAATATGTTTATTTATTAGTATGTAGCATAAAAAAAATGCAACACACCACAGCTTTAATAACCTAAGCTAATATTCAGTTCCCATCCCTTGATGTAAAATACATAAAAACTCAACAAATACACGAGAGACAAAACAAACTGAACAATAAGTATGTACACTACAAAAACACAAATAACAGACACACGTAGTAATTAAAGCGCCATTAAACACATCAGATCATTCACAGCTACATGATCGCAGTCAGGATGTATTTATGCATTATGTATATTACTGCAACAAAGAAAAACAATACGTGTTGCCTGCTGCAGTGATAATGTTAAGATGGTCGATGAGTGTGGCTAACCAGAGTGTAACGTGTGTGTGTGTGTGTGTGTGTGTGTGTGTGTGTGTGTGTGTGTGTGTGTGTGTGTGGGCGGGGGTTGTTTGCCCCACAGATGTTCCTGCGTGGCTGAAGAGTCTCCGTCTCCATAAGTACGCCGCTCTCTTCTCCACAATGACCTACGATGAGATGTTGTCACTGTCTGAAGAGCAGCTTGAGGCACAGGTTCGTACACACACACACACACACACACACACACACACACAGAGAGAGTTAGTTTTCATTTGGACAAAGAATCAGAACTTAAACAGGATAATCTCTGTTCTATCCACCGATTAATTGTTAATTATGAAAAGTGACTAAACTGATCCAGTCAACATTATCAAGCCCATATAAACCTTTTAGTAACAAACCAATTCAGACACTGATATTTGTATGTATGTAGAAATATGTCAGAACTGTTTATGAGTGTTCAATAAAAATAAATATCTTGATATTGACCAGTTTTAATCAATCTTACTTAAAAAAAACAAAAAACGAATTTATGTTACTAGCTTCAGCCAGATCAGGTCAAAAAAAAGATAACGTTGAATGAAACGGTACAAGACACATTTAGTGATTGTTGTGCTTGTACTTAAAGACATTGAGGAGTCTCTTCTGAAACGGAAGATGCAGCTAAAATTAACAGCGCTCACCGGGAAGCTGTACACTTCCTCCAGGTGCTGCGAACTCTTTCTCTGTCTCACCCGAACGTAATGCACAGCTACAGTGAGACATACCGAACTTCAACAAAAGGACAAAGAGGTGTCCTGTGTGACGGTGGATTCAATGCACTACAATGCACTGCTGTCAGCTTCATCTGGGAACAGTTCTTCATGAGAGAAGTTGTGAGAAGTTGTATTAGCCTTCAGTGAAATTAATTAGCTGGAATCAAAGATTATAATATCCCATAAAGCATCTCCCTCACTCTTGTTGAAAGAGAACCAGCTGAACCTGTGTTTGCACAACTCTTCATCTCAGAGAATATGTATCAGTGATTTAGACCAGTATTTTTGGCTGATGGGAAAAGGGATGTTTGACACAAAAACTCTCTCCTCTTCAACAGAAGGTCACTAAAGGAGCACGGCACAAGATCGTTATCAGCATTATGAAGCTCAAAGAGAGGCAGAACCTACTGCGCAGCCTGGAAAAGGTCAGACTGACGGCGTGCCACACCTTCTTCTCCTTCTCTTCATCATCACACACAAACAAAAACATTCTCATAACCCTTCTAATCCTGCCTGAAATGATTTGAATTTGGAAGCCTTGTGGATTTATTTATGTTGTTTTTGCTTTTAAATGTTTGTTATTGCTAACTGAGCTTGTAATCCTGTCGGACATCACCTTCTCTCCTCCTGCGTGTTTGTGTGAGAGAGCGAGAAGGGTGACCATTCTCAGTCGGTGTTATGTATCTGAGATGGCAGCTAAGGGAACACCTAATCCAGGAAGGAGAGTTTTGGGCTCCGAATTTAAACCCATCCGCCTCCCCCGCTCTCACCCCCACCCCCCACCCCTCTCACCCCTCCATTCAGCCTTCAAAGCAAGACAATGGCGCTCAAGGGCACACTGCAGGAGGGACTTCTTGAGCCAGCTAAATTCAGACTTAACCTTTTCACCAACACTTCATTTTAAAATGTGTTCCCGCTGCATTCGTAGGGCTGGGGAAACAAGACACCTGTTGCTTGGTATTTTGGGTTTACACAGACTCATGTGTACAGCGCTGCTCTGTGAGGGGGAGGGAGGGAGGCTGATATGATGCACGTTGGACACAAGTAGTGAAAGAAAACTGCATGTATGTATTTTTGGTATTACTTTATCTGCTCTATCACATGGCAGTGTGGTCAGGGATCCTTCCCCCCCTCTGTTTGTTTGTCTCTCTTTATTTTAAGCATGTAGGTCAGAAGTTACAGGTTTTTCTTGTATGATTATGTTAACATGGTTGTGATTCGGGGCAGAGCTGCGCAATTAATTGACATATTATTGAAATCACAGCTTGGCAAAGTGCGATATATCCAAACTGCAGAAGCTCCGACCTTTAGCTTAAGGTAAAATGTGACAAACATCATTATAATGAAGTGCTGCAGAGATGCCCCACCCTACAAATCTCCTCCAGATGTAAGAAAACAGCCTGACAAATGTCACATCATCACGATTTCAATAGTTTTTTAAGTGAAAATGGAATTTGTGATGGAAAAGTGATCATTCCCATACTAATCGTATCGCAATATCTATCAAAATAATCACAATATGATGTTTTTAACACATCGTGCAGCCCATAGATTCAGGAATGTCTACTCTCACAAGTAGTCTAAAGACCTCTACATGACGAATAAACGACACAAAAATGCGAAATACTTGCAAATTTCTGACTCATTAACGTAAAAAAAATGTAAATCCACACACTGACGGCAGACTAAACCAGACAGGGACTGACAGGAAAACGGCAGAAGCTTGCAGAGCTCCCGTGTTCTGCCAGGTAAAATGATTGGTTTTGATTTTGAGACTATTGATGGATACGACGGTAAAAGCTCACATACCCGTCTGTGCTGAGGGAGCAGTCGCCATCCCCAGATGTCACATAGTCTTTATAATTTTTGTGTCCTTTGTCATATAATACAGGGTGATGAGAAACAATCAACAGGTCCGCCGTGAGTTGTGTCGTGATGTCTCATAAGAGAACCACTCGTTCGAACATATTCGTTCTTAAGTGGAGGACTCAGTTAGTGCAATTAGTCTCCCTTTTCACTAAAGGAATGTATATTGCATTACTATAAAGCAATTATGAGTTCCCTACGTAAAGTACAGTGTTTGACTGCACAGTTTGAATTATAATATAGTTTATCATAAATGTATCATATAACCTAACAAGATCATCATTAATTCAAATTTGCTATTGGCTGCACTTGTTATATTCTCCTTTACTTCCACTGTTGATGTTGTTAAAAATGGACTTCTTTAATTGTATTTATTTAATTCACAAAAACATAACATAACAAAAGAATATAAGCACACACACACAGGGGGAAAAAAGAAAAAAACAATCACACCAACCAAAATTACAAAAACAAACCCATACAACCAGAACATATCAGCAACCTAAACAAGCAAGAATATAAAAAATAAGAAGATAAATAAATAACAGACATTAATAATAAAACGTAAGTAAGTTATTTTACTTACAGAATATTACATTAGACTAAATGTTATAAATGATAATAACTAAATGAATGAATAGATCCTTCCTACCACCCTTCAGCTGCAATAAACACTCCCCATCATTCCCCGTATCCTTTAAGGTCATACTTTCTTTAAAAAAACAAACTTTCCTTTGTGATCTCCAGGACTTAAGTCTCTAAGATCATTAAGTTCTTCATGAATTAACTTCCTCACACATGAGCTAGGCCGTGTAGCCTTATATGGTGATATCAGGGCGTTAGTAATGCAAATTATCTCTTCTCATAAACGCTCCACTGCGCACAGATGGCCTTCATCATTTTAACACAGGTGATTTACAAAGAAATCTCAAGTTAGGAGCTCCACAACACCCGTATGAGCCAACCATACAAAAAAAAAGAGAAAGTTAATATAAGAGTACGACAATGTTCTTGCAGCAGGGTTCCCACGCACCCTGGAAAACCTGAAAATTTAGAGACTAGTTTTCCAGTCATGAAGACACCTAGAAATTGATTAGAATGACCAAATATGCTGGAAATGAACTATGTTGTCCCAGAAAATTAACCTGGGTGCATATTTAGTTGGAAGCTTCACTTCAAAACTGGAGTTACATGTGTCAATACTAGGCTTAATGGTAAATGATATGACTGTGAGTCCTGTATTGGCAAGAAAAACTCCAGGAAAATGTCCTGGAAAGGTTGTGGAAAGTGATCTTTGAAAAAGAGTGGGAACCCTGCGCATGAGGCCCAATGTGATTGGCTGATGCCCTCATTTGTGGTGCGAAAGCTCCTAAAAATCGACCTCGATTTGAAAAAGAATTATGTTGCTTTTGTATTACTTTGCTGCGTAATATTTGTGTTCTGTGTGAAAGGACTCATGACAAAAGCAAAACATATATTGATGTGTGAATTAATGCCTGAAAACAAGTAGTAAAGACCTTCCTCCTCCTCCTCCTCCTCCTCCTCCTCCCTCCTGTCTTTCACCACCATCAGGACGTGTTGGAGGGCAGTAATCTTCGCGCCCCGCTGCAAGAGCTCCACCAGATGATCATGACACCTATCAAGGCTTTCAGTGGCGGCGAGGAGGCCTCCATGCAGCGCCACCTGCTGAGCCCCGAGGGAAAGAGTGCCGCGCCTGGCTCCCACCTGAGTGGGGGTGGCGGAGGGGAGGCTGAGTCAGGCACCAGCGTCATCGCCGAGGGAGATCTGCCCAGCCAGTTCACTCGTGTCATGGGCAAAGGTGAGCTGCTCAGCGGGGATTGTTTTCATGGACTCAGAGAGGGTTTTTTTGTTTTGTTTGAATGTCTTTTTTTCAACCTCTGCCTCCTCCTCAGTTTGCACCCAGCTACTGGTGTCGAGGTCAGATGAGGACAACATCAGCTCCTACCTACAACTCATCGACAAGTGCCTTATCCACGAGGTACCTACCGGCTCTGGAACACACAAACAGTACAATACAAACTAGGAACAGACACTGCAGGATGTTTAGGACCGATATTGTCATTTCCAGTAACCAACATGTCCAGTATTATCAAAATAATAGTAAATAGTAATCCATTTTCCCCTTTTTTTCATTTAATTTTTATTTAATTCAGAAAAGTATTTTAATACATACTCTACACTCTGTAGAGAGAATGACTATGAGCAAAACAAAAATGGTAAAATAATATATATTGAAGTTTTATTAATTAAAAATTAAAGAGCTTTGAGAGCAAAATCAGTAAATCATTAATAATTTCTCACACATTTATGGCCGATTCCATCATTATAAAGTCGACATTTTGATGATTTAATATAGGGCTGCAAAATGATGATCGCGATTATTTTGATCAGTATTTCAGTAAAAGCTCACTGCGGCTGCTTCTTCTTGTTCTGTTCCTCCCTGACATATTTCAAACTGATTCGCTGTCAACAAATTCTGAAAGTATAGACACATTTCTGACCGGAGTCAAGCTAACTGACACTCACTTCACAATAAAAGTCAACTGGTGTTTCGCCAGTTAAATGCTTTTAACATGAAGCTACAGCAGTGGGAAATGTTGGGTTTTCGTTAGCAGTAACTTAATACTGCTTTCTATCTAGACAGCAGCTGCAGGGTGTGTGTGTGTGTGTGTAGCGACAGGACAGCTCCCCAAAAGTGAAACCATAACATCTCCATCACCCCTGGTGGCTGGCTGATGCTCTTGATTTGATATGCGAGTGTTCCACGAGTCGAGCACGTTCGATTCATTGTGCAGCCCTAATTTCATATCAGTTCATGTTCATGCATACACACCCTGTTAATTTTATGTAAATGTCATCCTTTTGTCAGCCTATTTATGAACATTTGCAGCGCTCTGCAGAAACTTGATGATCAGTCATCAACTTGATAAATAGAGTTGAAAGTAAATTAGGTCAGTAGAATGACAGACTCCTCCATGAATGAATCATAGATGAAATGTAAAGAGGAATGCTCTCGTCCAGGTCACTCTCGGCCTCTCTGAAGCTCGAGACAAATAAAATATTCATAATGATGTAGAATAAATGTACCTTGTGGAGTATGTTATAGTAGTTTTGGGTGAAATAGACGTTTTTTGTTGCGACACCTTAAAATCCTCCGCCATGCTCCATTTCATCCCTGATTCGTACTCCCTGTTCTCCCCCTCCCCCATCCCCGTCAGTCCTTCACTGAGACGCAGAAGAAGAGGCTGTTGTCATGGAAACAACAGGTCCAGAGGCTGTTCCGGTCCATTCCGAGGAAAACCATCCTTGACATAGCAGGGTACCGACCGCAGAGGAGGTAACCGCACGGACGCACGGTGGCTTTCGTTTTCTGGGTTTCATGGTCTGCGATGAAAACCCTTTAAATCAAAGTCACTTTACATGAAGTTCACTGATTCCCCTTATTAATATAAATAATGAATGTAGATAAACAGAGAGGGATTCATTCGTTAGATTTTAGACAAACAGTGATTCTTCTTTATTCCTTAGCTGGTTATACATAGATAGATATATATATTTATGTCATTTTAGGACCATTTTATGCCACAAATACTCACAATAATGCAAGTACTTCTACTTAAAATGCAGGTGAAATGACTTTAACCTTTTAAGATTTCATCCTCAGTTATATTGTACCCCTATTTAACAATGTATGCCAAGAAATTTCCAAAAATGCTCCTTCTTGGACTCACTGTTCAGCTATTTTTAAACCTTAACGAGTACATACCTGCTCCTTTGTTAACACAGTTCCCGTGAACAGGAATCTCCACCAGTGCTTGCTTGTGTCTCACCTTCTGTCTCGCCCTGCTGCAGCCGTTTCGGTCAGTCCAACTCTCTCCCCACTGCTGGCTGTGTTGGGGGCAGCGTGTCGGTCAGGAGGAGCCTTCGCCAGTTCCAGATGCCCTCCAGGAGTTTGCCAGGTGCCAGACTGGGCCCCCTGGGCAGCGGGGGGCTGCTGGGACCCACACCTCGCAGCTCCAGCAGCACACCCACCGGTCCCAAGCAAGGGAGACAGGTGAGTCAAACCAACAGAACCTTTAAACCAGCAAGGAGAGAGCAAACCAGTACGGGTGTCTGTTAAGGATGTGATGAGACTTATAGAGAGTTTTACTATTTACTTACACATTTTAGTATATGTGAAGCTAAATTGAAAATATACAATATTGTTGTTGGTGTAAGGAAAAATCCAAGTATAGATCATGAAAAAAGTGGCGTGTTCTAGTTATACTACAGCAGTTTTCCTCAATATATCACCTTTCTTACAGTATTACGTATCATATTGCCAGATTTTGGCCAATACACAACTACTGGGTGTACAGCTACTATGTTTACACTTACGTTTAGATTTACATTTACTTTGTATATAGGCTCGTATTATCTTATTATATCTCTTAGGGTCTTATATGTATATACATATACATTCATTTCTATTCTATATATTGTCTTGTGTGAGTGGAACAACTGTAGCGAACAAATTTCCCCCTGGGAAGTATTTCTGATTCTGATTCTGATTATGTTATGGATTAATCGTTTATATTATAAAATGTTGGAAAATCAGCCAGCAACTGTCTGATAAATAAATGATGAATCAATTAATAGATGAATCCCTTCAGCCCCTGTTTAAAGATGTATGTTTTGATTCACCTCCGCACAGAGTTGTGATCTTTAGTGTGTGATTACTTAATCCAGCATCAGTCGATGTGGTACAAGAGGTCGGATGAGGAGAGATGGCTCCGATTGTTTACTAAAATGTGAATTAAAGTTGTCTAACACATGAGAATTAGAGCCGTACTCGTGGTATTATCATGTGTGTACGCAGTGACTGAATGCCCGGGGTGTTCGTGACTGTACAGAGGAACATTTTGAGATGAGTAATAATACATTCCAGGATGTTTACAGTAACCTGGGCAGCAGAATTCCTTCTTCAGCGCGTATTCTGCCTGAAATAGACTTTTTATTCCATGACAAAAAAATGCGGGGTGAGGAAGAGGAGCAGCGCCGGCGGCGGTGGTGTTTGGCGAATGAAGTTAGGTGGATGGAACTCGTAGGCAGGTCACCCCACATACCAGAGCCCCTGCGTCAGTGCCGAACACTGAAACAGGAGGAGCTGTGGAGCCGTTTCAGGCCCATCCTGGCACACTTTGGTCTGGGCTGACCCAGTTCATTGGAAACCTCTCTCTCCCGCTCTCTCTCTTTCTTTCTCTCATCGCTTACAATGGGAGGAAATATCTCAGTTCCTCCTCCTCACGCTGGACCTTCTTGTGTGGGACTGTTGTGTGGATGTGTAGAGAGAGAGAGAGAGAGAGAGAGAGGAAGGGAGAAGGAGGGTGGGAGGGAAATATGTGAGTCATAGTTTGGGAGAGGTAGCTGTGGTGTTGGAGGAGGAGGAGGAGGGGCAAACAGAAAGAGAGAGGGTGAGTTTGTATGAGTGTGTATGAGAGAGAGAGAGCCAGTCAGAGGCAGTGAGAACAGTGCACAGGCATTTCCTGTTTTTCCCTGGCCCGTGGCACTGGAGGGCCGCGAGGGAGGGAGGGAGGGGGGGGGAGAGGGAAAGAGGTGAGGGGAGGGGCATGTGGTAGTGGTGTTGGGGGTATAATAGGCAGGTTACAGTGAGGAATTCATGTGGTGAGCGTCTGAGACTGTCATTAGGTGTGGGCTAGACATCCAGACAGGAGCGTGGGGGGGGGGCCTTGATCTTACACCCGACTTCTTTCAAGCTTGCAACATTTTCATAAACCTCTTTGATCAGTGAAAGTTACAGCGATGTGTGAAAAGCAGTGCAGTGATGTGTAAAGTCAGAACTTGGAGGATTTGTGCATCTAATTATATTTAATAGTATAATCTTAACCAGGTTATCCACAGGTGATTAGAAGGACTAAAGTCGGGGCATCCTGGTGGACTAGTGTTGTATGCTTCTAATTTAAAAAAATAAAGTCTAAATGCAGCATATACTCAAAGCTATGTTGGGTTTCACTTTATTTGTGCCACAAGGATTCAACAAATCCAGTAAATATTTATACCTTATTTATATTTTACAGTACAAAATGTATATTCTATATGTTTATAACTCCTTTAATGTGAGTTTTAGGTTCAAAAGTGTCAAAAATAGTATTGGTGACACCTTCAGATAACCTGATATATCCTTATCCTGACAAGAGTTATCCAAGCACAGTTTCTATGCTAAAGGTGCAGCTGGCCAGACTCCATTGACAAAACCAGTAATTTTGCAGATAATCGGGGGAAAAACACTTCAAACTGGACAGAAACTAAATTAAACTCAATTGAACTGTGAATTAAGGGACAGTGGAAAGACTAACAAAGACAGTTTGGGTGAGAAAAACAGCAAATAGTGGTTTGCTGCTATATGAATGTTTCAAACCTCATAACATCCCCAAAAACTATTGAACAGGTTTCCATTAAATGTGATGGACAGATGAGACTGTAACGTGTGGTTTTTTTAAACCATAACTTTGACACTTATCCTCCAAAGGTGTTTGAGAAGTTAATATAATGTCTTTTGTTCAAATATCCTCCTCAGGGTCTGTGGTTTGCCAACCCCGGAGGAAGCAACAGCATGCCCAGCCGGACCCACAGCTCCGTGCAGAGGACCCGGTCCCTGCCAGTTCACACCACACCACAAACCATGGTCATTTTCCAACAAGCCGGTAAGTAACGCTGGAAAACACACACACACACACACACACACACACACACACACACACACACACACACACACTGGCATAATTTGTCATTGATGCATAAGTCTGTTTATTCTACTCTATCTTTACCGGGGTGGATACTTATATATGCGGGGTCTTTTATTCTGTATTAAATATTGCCAAGTTATAACTTCCACATCTGAAATGAAACACAAGAAAAAAAAAAACATATATTTGTTACATTTAACACTTTATTCTCCTTTAAAAGGCATTAATGTATCCCATTGTGTCTCACTGCAGTGTCAGTTAAATGCTTTTGGTCATACTGCTTTAACATCTCGCTGTGTTTTCATGAATTTAACTTTAAACTGCCAGCGTCTGAGTTCCCTGACTGCCTGTGCAGACATATGCTGTAACAACACACTGATTGTTTGTGTCCGGTTGTTGTGTCTCAAACCAGTAGCTGAAATGGGTCAGTACGAGTAGCAGCACTTCAGATTTTTGTCCACATGAGTACCCTTACTTCTTATTAAGTACTGCTACCTCTGGTGAGCATGACCGTACCCACCGCTGAGGTCGGCAGTAGTTTTTCCAAGGGGTATACAATAAAAGTTGTGAAATAATTGTCTAAGAAAAACTTCTTTGATGCCCTAGCAAGTCCTGTTTTTGGACCTTGGTTTTTCTAAAACCCTGTGTAGCCTACAGTAGTGCTGGTGAGTTACTCCTACATGCCTGTGTAACTTTGTCTCTGTGTAAACTAAAAGCTTAATTCTAAGAAAACAGCACTGAAAATGACCTCATAAAAATAAATACTGCCAAGATAATTGAGATTATGTTGTGTTTAGGGGTTATGTTTGTGCTGATTTAGGTTTTGGTCAAGTTCAGGCGCTGGTTCTGACATGATGATGTCATGTTTAGCCCGTGTGCTGACCCATTTTGGTGCTCTTTCTGCCGGTTTGGACCTAAAAATATAAACTATCACATATTACTTTCATTGTTAAACTTACATGTATACAATATTTACAATGCATAGACACACACACACACACACACACACCACTCTGTTAGTGTTTCTGTTGGATCTAGGTTCTTTTATTTTGACACCCAACTTCATATGAAGCTCCGAACATTGACTTTTTATTTACTTTCTCGTTGTTACCGAGGTGAAAAACCTGTTTAGCACAAGAACGGTGTATTGTCTCTCCCAAAACACAGTGGAAATAATTGCCCAGTCATTGGCTCTGGGTCTGAATGCAAGACTAGATTAAATTTCACAGGCATTTTATAATTGTGAAAGATCATTTCTGATTCTTCCACCCCTCAACCCTGCCTCACCCTGAAAGCCCCTCACCCCCCCTACCTCCTGTGTCCACACAGGCCCGGGTCATGGTAACCATCGGTGTCAGGCAGAGTGACCTTTAGTAGCCTCTGCTGACTGGACTTTGTCCCACAGGAACAGGGGACAGTAATAGGACGAGCTGGGACTTCCTCCGCTCTCTGTCACACACACACACACACACACACACACACACACCAGAAATGTCCTCTTTTTAGAATGAAGAGGAAAAACAGATTTAAAAAAAGCAAGCGGGAGGGAGGGAGAGTGTGGACTGTATGTGAGAGAGGAAGAGATAGAGGCAGGGAGGGAGGAAAGAGTCAGAGGAGTCTCACAATGAGGCTCTTTGTGCAGCGGGGACAGGGCTCCCTGGCCCACTTTCCTTCCCTTCCCTCTCTCCCTGACTCTCTCTCTCTCTCTTTCTTAACTTTCCCATCTCTCTCTCCCTCTCTCTCTCTCTCGACCTCTTTCTTTGCCATCCGTCCATCTCTCCTTTTTTGACAACTCTGCAGAGTCATGCACGCATTGCAGTCACCCTCAAGGGTGGGTATAGCTGGGTCCCAGCCAGAGTAGCTGATTTTAAAAGGACCCTCTCTCACCCCCCTACCACCACCACCACCACCAACCTCTTACCCTCCTCTGTCTCTGTCTTTCTCTCTGCCAGCAGATGGATAAAGAGAGTTATTAAGTGAGACACAGCAGAGAAAAAGACAGGATGAAGGAAACAGTGTGTGTGTGTGTGTACAGTGTTTGTGTCGCTGTAAGTCTGTGTGTACAGGGGGCGGAGGGGTGTGTGGGGTGGCGTTGGCGGGGGGAGGTGGGATTTGGAGTCTATAAATAGCCCAGTGTGGACTACTGGGCCTAACTCAGCTTTTCTCTCTGGCCACAAGGGATTTTCACTGCCCAGCCTGTGTTGAAGACTCAGCTAAGGACTAAATGGCTGGAAGGGGTTGCTAGGCTGTACTGTGGCCCAAATACACCCCCTCACACACACATACTCTCCCCCCTCTCCCCCTCCAGCCTCAACCCAACCCTCTGCTAAACAGTCTCCACCCTGCTTACAGTTGAGGTCAAGACAGCGACGAGCACCTGAGAGTTACTGTTTTAAACTTGGGTGAAAAGTTTAATTTAATGTATAAATGTTCTGGGAAATTAATTAATAAAGCTATCTAAAATAAAACAATGTCATGACTTTTTCAAAATATGACCTTTATTTTCCAATTTTAAAACTGTATCTCCTGAGATGCGTTGAACATTTAGAGTGTAAATTTATCATTTTTTCCTGTTTTTAAATCTTTAAAAACATTTTCTAAACAATAAATTAGCTACTTTTTTCCATATTTTGTATTAAAAGTTTAAAACAAGTCACAACAATTATTATTCAGATATGTTCTGAATGCCTTTTATGTACCTGTATGTAATTTGTAAAGTTACCCAAACTTCTGTGTATGAGAGAAAGAGAGAGAGATAGAGAGAGATCATGTGAACACTGGTGAATCTATCAATAATACACATTTAAGAGTAAAATTAATAGAAATCATTCTTTTATGTTATTGATTATCTGTAGAGTATAGGCTTTAAATCATGCATAATTCTGTGTTTGATTATATACAGACATTTAATCCCCGATTATCAGAGCGGTTGAAATGTGATTCACATATAAACCAACCTATAACAATCAAACTATATTAAAACCTGAATAACGACTTTTCACATAAGTGACCCAAGTGCTGAGATAAACATATACTGTGTATATAGTTTATGTTTTCCAGCACGCCTTGAAATCAAGAAGGCTTCTAACCAGTACTACTCGAACACATCACAGTATTTTTAGTTTTCAGACTCACAAGAAGGAGATTATCAGGAGGACTCAAAGATAGCTACCGTGTGTTCAGTGTAGTGGCTCACCTGTAATGATGCCGGTATATATCACCGCTCTGTAGATTAATGCGATCAATATCAAACTCTTGACGTCAGTTTTATTGTCGTTGTGAGTCAAAGCACATTTAATTGTTAAAAAGTAACATCTGATGATTGACAGTGTGACTTAATTTGATCAATTTCAACATGTTATTTTGAATTATTGAATGTATATTTTGTCACCAATCCAGACACACACACATTGTCTGGATGTAGTGTGTGTGTGTGTGTGTGTGTGTGTGTGTGTGTGTGTGTGTGTGTGTGTGTGTGTGTGTGTGTGTGTGTGTGCTGGTTTAATCTGATTATTGAGGCTACAGTCTGGTTGAGTGGACGGCATTGTCTCTGTGGACTGATTTGAATTTCTTTTGTCCTTTGCCAGCTCGTCTGATGCCGATTTATGTAAAAAAGGGGCGAAACTTTAAGGATTATCATGATTCTGTGTAATTAGGCCTCTCACTCTTAATGTGTGAAGTAATTGATCTAAATGTAGCTCCTCAGCAGGAACAAGTGAACACTGATAAAGTTCGACTATACAGAGGATCAACTGTATTAAATCATTTGTAATTTGATTAAATGTAGTTTTTTGTTCACTTGTTGAACTTGCTTTGACCGTTATCAGGACATTTTATTTAAATCATCTGTTTAATATGAATATAATTGAATCACAGATGCTGACGTTGATTCAAATTGTTTTTGTTTCTCGTTACAGATCTTCAGCTACCGGTGACGGAGCCAGACATCAACAATCGCCTTGAGTCTCTGTGTCTGAGTATGACAGAGCACGCCTTGGGAGGTAACGCACAGTTTTTAAATAGCTCCGGATTATTAAACCACAGTACAAGAACATGTACAAGCTGGTTACAAAGCTCATCCTGTCTTTTTAATCAGGATGTGATATCATAGAATAATGTAGTTATTAATATCCCTCTATACACGATTATCATATTGTCCAGGTTTCTGTTGACCGTCTGGTAGTGAGGTCAGACAATAAGTCCGAGACACGCCGCTGCAGAGAGCAGCCTGCGTCCTCGTCGTCTCAACTGAATTATCTCAGCTGTTGAGATTTAATTCACTTTGGTTCCTGGCTGCCGTGCCACTGTTTGATTTTAATGTTGTTTTGTGTATTTGATTTCTTAATTTTGTTGCCAGGGACGGAGGACAAGAATGATAAACAAAAGCAAGAGCGTATCGGCTAAACGTATCCGTTCTGGAGTGTATTCGAGCCTTAAGAAAGGACTCTTGCTTCCATCTCCCCTCGGCCTCAGTCATAAAAGCTTCTGTAAAGGCCAGCAGTTGGATCTGACTCAACCAGAACTTCTGTGTTATGTTTCAAAGCCAAAATAAAACTCCACAGTGTCCAAAAGTCACATCAGTGAGTGTGTGAGTGAGTGAGTCACGTTCAGGTTCGGTCACTGTAGTTGATCTTAACGCTGATCTTGAGGCTGATTGGCCCTCTCCAACTCTCAGTCAATTATCCTGTTGTGCGAACAGCTTAAAAAGTCTGGAGCCCACTGATAACTCCAGACTTGTTGGAGCCCAACAAGGTTTTTTCAGATGTGTTATATTTGGTTGGTCCAGTCTGGCCAAGCGGGGCCCGAAAAACTCGCCAAGTTTGAAATCTGACAGCGATTCTGTCAACAGCCGAGGCGAGTTCAGCTCAGAGGGGAAATAAAATGGGAAGAGCTGAGTTGTTTTAGCAGAAAACTCTCATTCTCACATTTAGTGTGGACTAGCTTTTGGGGAATGACGTGCAGTTGTTAAGGGACGTCTGATTATTATAAGCTCTGTTTATGAGAAAGGAGTACGACAGAATGACCCACCGGAGGAGACACAGGCATTTTTCTGTTGTTATGGATGGTAAACCTGAACCTTGAACACATAAAAATGGCTTTTACATCAGCCTTTTCTTTAGTGAACATGGCCTTAGTCAGCAGAATATTCCAATGTACAGTACAGTGAATTTTAGTTTGAGTTAACGTCAGTGCCAGCTCCCCCCCCATCCTAAAACTGGACTGAGGTGAAGACAGTGGGCCTCAGTGACGGTGGACAAGTGCTGCTTTGTGTGTGTGTGTGTGTGTGTGTGTTAGGTGGAGAGCAGAGCAAAGGAGTGCATTAAACTGAAGAAACTCTTAAATCAGAGGTTTTTTTTAGACTTTCTTAGTCTCTCACACCCAAACATTCAGCCGACTGTGGTGACCTTCAGAAACAGAACTCAGTAACTCGATCCGAGTCGTCTGTTGGGCGTTTTTGGAAAGCTTTGTGTCAGCACCACTGCGATGTACACATCATGAGCTGTGTGAGGTTCCCAAGCATTTACCTTAAGGGACTCCTTTTCTGTCTATTTATTAAACTGACTCGGTGACATATTTTATGGATATTTCGTATTATATTAAAAACTGTACAATGAACCCTAAACACAAACTCAGTAACTGCAAGAAGTTTGTGTAAAACGAGTGATTTGGAGGAATTTTGAGCAAATGATTTCCTGTTTAGGGACCTTTTTACACAATTCACCATCTGTGTTATGTATTTTTTTTTTATAATTTTGAACAGTTTTATGGCCCCTGATGCTTGGCTATTGTTCTGCTAGACAACTTACTTTACTTTGCATTTACATTTCTTCACATAAATGAACCAAATACTGAGATATAGGCCTACTGTGTGTCATTTTTTAACTTTTCTTTCACACTTTTCTCGACCCTCCGTGAAGCTTTGCCGACCCCCAGGTTGGGAACCACTGTTGTAGGGCACCAACACAACATTTTATTTTTATTTTTTTCAACATTTTTACAGAGTTTTTTCACAGCACTTTGACCGAATGAATGGAGGGAAAATTAGATTCTGAGAGTTCTCACCACATTTTGCTTTCATTTATGGTTGGCCAGAGGGCAGGGCTTAGCTCCACACACACACACACACACACACACACACACACACACACACACACACACACACACACACACACACAGAAACCAAAGAGGTTGATGACAACTCAAGGATAAGGAAGAAAAGCGATATTTCCACAGCGCACTTGTTAATCTAACAGTGAGTTATGAATAAGCTAAAAGATAGTGTATATAGTATTAGTATATATAGTATATAGTATTTTTCCACTAACCTTAAGATACAAGAGGATGTCTGATACTGTCTGTTTCCAGTGAGATCTTATTGAGTTTATGTAGCCACTTTACTGAAACAATATTTTGTTATATTTAAAATACAAATCAATTCAGATATATTTCTAAACTCCACCGAATGTCAATTATACCAACAAATGTAACAGCACAGACAAGTCCTGAAGAGAAGTGAGAAGAACTGTGATCAGATTCAAAAATCAAATGAAAAATAAAACTCAAGAAGTTAAACTACTTTCAAGAGTCCAAGTGGCTTTAATTTACAAGCTCTGGCTCAATTGTAATTCACGTAAACAAAAGACAACATAGATGCATCAATCCAATTTGATGAAGGACAAACAGCGTTATAATGAAGTTATATAATGTATGTAGTTCTCCATAGATGCTCTGGACTACAAATCGTGTTCTCCAGATGTAAGAAAACATATTAGCTTGGTGAAGACCCCAACAAATCTAATTTTCAATAGATGTGTTTTTATAAGTGTACAATCACCTTAATATAAGAATAGTTTCTGTTAACTTAAAAAGAAACATTATTATCTACAGCCGCTGCAGGTCGCCTTCCATGGAGACTGTCATGTTGAACCACCATGTTTCTACAGTAGCTCAGAACGGACAAACCAAACACTGGCTGTGCTTGTTTGTTTTTCTTCACAGCCACCATAGTTTCTCCTCCACACGGCCCGTTCTCATCCCTAAGTCTTCAAATACAGACGCGATCCCACACACTGGTCCTTTAAAATTGTGACTCAAAAGTGATGATTCCCATTATTTGTGATCGATGTCACAATATCTGTCAGAATAATGATTGCAATATTCTTTGCAATTCTTTGTGGACACTAAAGAAGTGGCCACACTCAAAGATGTAAGGTTCAGAGTATCTTAGTCCTCTTGTATTACCATCATCTGGAACTAAGTTGTTTTTTGTGTTTGTGTTATCCTCCAAATTTTCAATGAATATGTATTTGTCACAGCGTCTGACATGTTTTATAGTTAAATAGTTGCTTCATCAATGTTTCCAGCCTGAGTTACATTCAGATCCACACAGTCAGGGCTCCCACGCGTCCTGGAAAAAGTGGAAAACCTGAACATTTTAAAGACTAGTCTTCCAGTCATGGAAACACCTACAAACAGATAAAAATGCCTGGATATAATCTATGTTGTCCTGGAAAAGTTTAGTTGTATTTTAGCCTGTGCTGTGGCCAAATTAATGTTAACGTTAGAGGAAATGTAGTCAGTAGACCTTTTTCACAGCAGCCATTTTGACATGAAATAAAAGGGTAAATAAAAGGTGTTACCTATGATACCAGTTAAGGTTACGTTTAGGAAGTCAGTACTTCATACAAAAAGTACAAAAGATCAAAACAAACCACTGAGTTTCTTTTGAGTTACACAGTAAGTGTATTAAATTGAAATTCAATGTGAATTAATCACCAGGAAGGTGTCAGGACATCAAACTGCACAAAAAAGAACAGGCAGATCTTTTTGTTAATGTGCCAGGAGACTCTTTTGGGAGAATGACCAATCAAACCAATCAATTTTACCATCAAACTAAAACACATTCAGCTACTCTAAACAGCTTTACAACAGTCTGATTGCACTTGATGTTATTGTGTGCATTGCTACCCTATTCAACAACAGCTCACAATGACATTAACCTGCCCTTTCAGTATCTTGATAGAGGCTTTATTTTTGTGGAATCAAAATGTCCACCAGTGCGTAGCTTGATAACATTTTCCTCTTCAGCCACACCAGAGGCAACAGCTGTCAGACTGTTGTTTTCCTCTGAAAGGCTCTATCAGTATTTTGACAGATGTGTTGTTCTCTCACTATGACAGTGTGGGCTCGGGGCCCCTCACTGTTCACCATGTCAGAAAAGCTTCAGGCCTTCACTGAAAGTTCATGGCAATCAGATTAAATTTTATTCATACGCCTCTCGTAATAAATACTCCAGGGTTACAAACATGGTTAGGAAGAATGAGTCATTACAAAGAAAGCCTGGAACAGGACGACCGGCATCATAAAGGGACCCAAGAATGGGAGAGAATTACATTTAATAATGTACGAGGTAAAATAAATGAGAACTGTGGGTGAAATTAGTTTTTATCAAATTCTGGAGAACTGTTCCAAAGGCAGAAAGCCAGAACAGGGTCTGAAGCATCTGTTTGACTCACAAGGGACAAATAAATCCAAGATTAAGTTGGTGCTTGACTTCTACAAGATCTGAAATCCATCTTCTTCTTCTTTTAAAGCCTTTTTTGGGGCTTTTTATAGACTTTATTAGATAGTAGCAGCTGGAGAAAGGCAGGAAAGTGGGGAGAGAGAGAGAGAGATTGGGGATGACATGCAGCAAGGATCCAGCCTCCACATGTGGGGCGCACGCTCCACAAGGCGAGTCACCGGGGCGCCACTCTATACCTGTGCTCTCCAACCTGGGTGCTTCATGGGGTGTCACAAGGCCTTCTTGATTTTTAAGGCGATATGTTCAACTTCTGTGAAGAAAAGTGAACGTAAAGTGTTAAAGAAATTGTCTAATAGAGCAATGGTCAAGCATCAGGGATAGGAAAACACTGAATTTGACAAGATTAAGTCTGTTAAAAATACATAATACAGACAGAGAATTGTATAAAAAGTTCCCTAAACAGCAAATAATCTGCTCAAAATTCATCCAAGTCTCTCGTTTTACACAAACTTCCTGCAGTTACTGAGTTCACTGTTTGGGTTCATTGTACAGTTTTGAATTTAATATGAAATATCCATAAAATATGTCACTGAATCAGTTTACTAAATGATAGAAAAGGGGTCCATTAAAGGAAAAGGTTAGGCACCAGTGCTCTGTACCATCTTTCACCTATTCAGGAAGGCTGGAGCCTGTCCCAGCACGCTCTGGGAGGAAGACGAGGAAACAGGGAGGGTGTTAGGAGCCCAAGGACTCATGGCTGCCAGTTTTATCTTTGTGTGATAACACTAACAACTTCTCACTCAGTTTAACTCTAACGCCGTTTCTTCTCTCTGCTGTTCCTCCTCAGACGGTGCTGATCGCACATCAACAATATGAAACGAGGACCTGAGTGAGAGCAGTAGGACAGCGCAGGTTCACGAGGCTCTCTCACGATAAGTCACCTCGAGGTCACCAGCCCTCCTGTCCCCCTCTTCCTGTAGCCAATGGTAGAGCTCAACCAAAGGATCGGGCGGGATCCAAGAAACACAAGAGCGCCGATCATCACACGGCTGACACAAGCTATCACATTGGCACCGTCCATCTGGTCGGAAAAAACACACTTCCTGCTCCGCCAGCACGCTCACAGTCACCTGCGTCTGGGTGAGGAGAGAGAAAAGCATTGAACACGGCCTGGACAGTGCGTAAACAGCGCCCCCCTTCACTGGGGATGCCAGAAGCAGTACTGCAGTCCAGTCAGCCCCAGCAGAAGGGAGACGCTGGCCTGTGGATCAGGGCCCAGTGAGACTAAAGGCCCCTAAACGCTCTCCGACACCCTCTGGTCCCCGCACATCGACCGCAGCTCGTGGCATCTTTCAAATCCATAACAGTACCTCAGACCCGAAAACCAGACGAGACAAGCAGAGCTAGAAGGACCGCAGAAGGAGGTTTGGGATTTCCTTGACTGTTTTCACTGAGGACCGAGTGTCCGGCGAGGACGCTTGTAGAGCTCGGGAAAGCCTTTTGCTCAGCATTGGGTTGGCATAAAAAAAACATCATTTATTTGTGTTTGTATGTATTTATTGTTTACATAATGATGCTACTTTCAAAGGGTACAGAAACATGTATGAATTTCAGGTATGAATCGTGTAATATTCTGTAAAGCCTTGGCTGTCTACCAGCTTTACGTCCCACGAGTAGCCATCACGCTAGTTTACAACCAACGTGCTTATTCTTTATTTTTAGCAGCCAACGACAAAGACGTGTAGGCTAGAGCATTTACCAAGAGAGAACATAGTGAGAGAGAGAGAGAGAGCAGAAGTGTGAAGAGGGCGATAAGAGGAAGAAGGAGATGAGGAGAAAAGACACAGAAAGTAGTAGAAGAAAGAATGAAGCTGAAGTGATACTGGAATGGGAAGCGGATGTTTAAAGGAGAAAGAGATCCGAGGCAGGACCTTTGATCGGCTGAAGACCGAGGAAGATGATGTCATGTCTAATCGTGTTGTGAGTAAGTGTAGGAGGAAGTGAATTTGGCACCGGTTAGTTACATATTGTTTATCTATAGCATGTACTGTATGAACTCTTTGAATTCAGAGCCTCCGTAGGCACAAAACATTGAACATCTTTACACGTAAATGGGAGATTTAATGCGGCCGTTAATCGTCAGTGGGATCTGTCTGCGTGTTCAGATACCGGGTTTAAGTTGTTTTTCTAAAGCAGGGTGATATGCTTAAGCTGCATGTTACAACTAAAATATCTTTTTCTTGGAGGAAAGGAGGATTGTGAAATGTGGAGTGGCCGAAAAAGAAAAACAGGAGGTCGATTCGGTTTCCACTCGGACCGTGTTGCTGAGAGGATTGCGACATCGGAGAGATCACACACTGTCAATCCATGAAGGGTAGTTTTCCCCGAGATTGTCTCATTAGTGCTTACCTCCACCTGCTGGCCAAACGCAGTCACGACGAGGCAGACGTCTGAAGTCCGTGCACACACACAGGCACTCTGCACAGCGTTGTAAAGTCACTGAAGAGCAACGTGTGGGGAGTCAGTTACTGCAGGGGGGATGTGTAACGTTGGTCTTCTGTCTGCTCTGTCAGCTCAGGCCTACATGGAATTTATTTTCTTTTGTTCATTCTGAATCTCATGGTTATTCTGTGTCTTAATATTTATCCTCAGTTTATTGCGTCTGGAATACAGACTTTATAAGAATAGGTTTATATCGAGAATAAGCTGGTTAGGAAGCTCCCCTCTGTGCCGCTTTCAACTGAGCGTGTGTGCTGACCCTGAATGGTCATCATTGAGGGTCACTGATTATTATTATTATTATTATTATTATTATTATTGTTTAGTTTCTTCATTAGTTTGTTGCAATTCTTTAGTACTTTCCTTTGTATCCTGCACTTGATATGATAATGTGATACACTAAAAAATCCAAATGTTCAAGGCTCAAAAGCAGCAGTTTGGTGTTTTGGAGTCGGATTGGAGCAGATTGAGGAGATGAGATTGAAGCTCCTGACGCGCCCTCGTTGACTTTAAAGGATTTCTGTTTGTCTGATGGTGGATGTTGGAGGTGAAAATACTCATCAGCCACACAGTTAAAGGACCATACCAGTGTTTGTGCATGTTTTAGCCCATTTATTTGACTTTACTATCAACTATTTTTAGGTTTTTTTATGTTCGTCCACAGTTTCCACTCATTTTATTATGGTATTCAATAGGTATGCACCGATTGGGAAATTCTGGGCCGATAGCTGATGTTTTTTTTGTTATTTATTCGCCCTGTTGTTCAGAGCATTTAGGCCTTGTTGCAGCTCAGACTATTTCTCTGTGAGACGCAGACACTCTCTGTCTCATCGGTATCTGTGTGCAATCTGTATCAGTGCTGGAGAAACACAGGAGATTATTTCTCCAATATCAAAGTTTCGAATTAACCAACACAACAGTTAACCAGCGCAAAACTGAGGCAACACAACACATAAACATCGGTGAAAGCCATATTATTTTGCCCATAAGGCCGGATGTCAGTCAACAAGGTACCTGTAGTATCAACTCACATACGTTCACACTGCAAGCCTTAGTGCTCAATTCTGATTGAGTGCTCAGATCAGAGTCTAGACTGAGGTCCTGAAGTGAGCTGCATGTTGAATGTTGATCTAGAGTGACGTGAAAAGCTCTGATTCAGATGTGAGTTGTGCCAGATTTGGTCCTGCAGTGTGAACGGAGCTCATGCTTCCCTGAGAGAGTGAATCCATCACAGGAAACGTCCTTGTTTACTTTTAGAAGTTCTTCCTGTTTGATGGCTTGTTTTTTTTTTTAAAAGATCTGCACCTAAAATAAATGCCGCTACGATGTCTGCTGTGATGAACGACCCTCTCAAGCAAGCTTCAGGACTATGAGTAGAAACCACTGGCGACCTAAAACGTAGAAAAACACTACAGTACAGCAGTGATACACGCAGTCAGTGTGTGAGCTGTATTAAAGGGGACGAAAACATGCAGAAATCCTGTTACGGTTCCTTATTCTGCCTCTGACAGGCCCGTTGAATCTGTACACACACACACACACACACACACACACACACACACACACACAAGATAGAAGTGTGTGTTGTTAGTTTTACTGCTGCACACTCAGTGTTTCAAGTGTGCGTGTGTGTTTTCTGCTCTTATACTTTGAGTCTATAAGAGCCAATCAGACGTCATCCGTGCGTTTGTGAACGAAGATGAAGACTCCACCAAAGCATGAATGTGACATGAATTGATCCTGAATGGAGAATCTGATGTTACACCTTTTTTTTTTGTTTTTTATTTCTGCAGCTCCTCACTGAGAGTCGGACTGTGTCACTGCCATATGAATCAGTACTTAAAGTAGATACAATTATTTATTCTTTTTTTTTTTTTTTTCAGAGGTGATACTTTTACTCATTTAGGTGTATTATTATTTAAAGTACCATATGTATTAACATGTTATGGCTGGTGACCATACGTACATCTCAAATATTAACATAGTTATTGTTGACTTTGACTTATTTTTCTTTTCTTTTCTTTTTGTTGTTGTTTTTTTTTTTTTTTGTTGAACTATAATCTTGTTTGTATCTATCGGTGTCTTGTCGAGGTTTTTTTCATGTGAAGCTTCGCTGTCGGAGCGCAGCCGAGAGCCGGTCCATCACAGACGCAATCCCTTTTTTCACGCTTCGGTTACAAAATTCACGCCGGACGAGCTGTCGGCAAAACGAGGAAGAGGTGTGTTGTAGTAGTTGTTAGGCGGGGGCCAGGAAGTAGACTGGTCCATTCTGATCTGGAGTCTGAATTTGGTGCTGTGGGCGCGTAACTCGATGGTCCTGAGTGGGAGAGGTTTATACTGTAGTTTGTTTTTATAGGTATGTCGCTGTTGTTGTTCTGTATTTTTCTTTTTGTCAACAAAACCCATGAAAAGACCAACAACAACAACAACAACAACGTGTCCCTACGTCTCTCAGTACTGCCCCACTTCCCTACCAACATTGTTCCTGCTGAAGATGTAAACCTTTAAAAAAGGCTGGACATTGTAGTTTTTAGCAAACGTTACTCAAACAGGAAATAGTGCATTTATTTGGGACTATTTTCAGCTGCGGATGAATCCACGTTCTGCGCTGTGGTGAGTGTTTGTGGCAGGGGGACAGTGTGTGTGTTTGTTTTGGTCTTTTTCTTTAATGGGATTGGTTTATTTTAAGAAAAGTAGAGAATATCACCAGACGTATGCTTTGTTAGAATAACCTGCAGTCAGTAATGTAATCAAAGGGATTATTGAAACTAGTATTTTTACAGTATTTTTTATTTACTTTCATATCACGTTGCCATGTTTGAGTTATAAAGGTGTTGATACAAAGTTCAGGAGATTTATTTTACAGTTTTCTCGTCTGTGCCATGTCTTTTTTCTAGAAGTACAGACTGCCTGGCGTTTAAATAACACGAGTTCATGTGATTTGTTGTTTCTAGGCGACATTAACAGAGTAAAGTTACACGTTTTTTTGGATTTAAAGAGTTCAAAGCAGCAGCACAGGCCTCCAGTTTCTACTCAACCCCTGGTTTCCTGCAGCATCTCTGGGTCAAAGAGACGTCTGCGTGAACTCAGAACCAACCTGTGACGGGACACTGGAGGGTTTCAGCTCTGAGGTCTGGATCATTACACATCTCTTCAAACCAAATGCTCTATTCTTTTTTTGTTTTGTTTTTTTTCTAAATGCATATCAGCTCTGTGGGTGTTCAGGAGTGCTTCTAACGCTGTGCACACTGCAGTATTAACAGTTAGATAACGCCTTGATATTCCAAAAAAAAAAACATTTAATGTACTTTTAAGACATATATGCTGTTTTGTATCTTTTATTTTTGTCATAGATTCTGCAGTTTAGTCAGTTTATGTTGTTTATGGGATGCCAAGACTTCTTTTTTTTTGTTTTTATTTTGTAAATTCAGCAGCATCCATACTGTAACAAAGTGTTGCCGCTTGACTGTGCTCCTTTATTGCATTTAGTTTTATTTTATCAAAGAGCCGATGTCCTGTATTGACTGCAGGCTTACGTATATATTTGACAAAAGAATATTGTATGTTTAATAATAAAAAAACACAAAAAAGACAAAAAATTGAAGAAAATGCAGAAAAAAGAAAAGGAGAAGATTGAAAAAAGTGTAATTTATATTTTAAAAACTGCATGCACAGGGCTGGGAAAGTCATATTTAGAATAACAAATGGCAGTGCCTTTTTTGTACTCGAGACATTCACCACAAATGTAAATGGTTTTTATATAGACTTTAAAAACTGTAAAGTTACAGGATGAAACTAGCGACAGCTGCGTCGGGTCGCGTTCACACTGCGGCTACAAGCGTCCCAGTTCAGGATGTTCCCCTCCGTTCCTGCATTATGTAACATAGACACAGTCCCAGGTAGGAAAAGACTGAATAATTCATCTGTTTTTCTAACTTTATAAATCAGAAATCTGATCCATATCTGACCCGTGGTCCTGTGATCATATCATTGATGCTTGTTTTATGTCTCATATCCACAGAACTGATCACTGTAAGGATCATTAATCAGTCATGCCTTTTATTTGAGATTGCTGCAGCCTAAAATGCCTGATTTCGTTGCAGCATTTATAAAAAGTTGCAATGTATTTAGGCTTTTTTTTGTGCAATAAAATTGCAGGAGAAAGTGAAAAGTTTGTTCCAGTGGGAATGAAACAGCTCGTAGTTCGGTGGCGTACGGCTCAACTGGCTGCAGATTTCACAGAGATTGGTTAAATTTATGTCGAGTGTTGCCATCGTGACTTTCCGGAGGGACTGATTTAGTTTCTGGATTTAGTTTGTATTTTACGGAGACTCCTCAAATTTGGCTGCAGCACCTTCAGAGTCCTCCAGAGTGATAATTAAAAGTCCTTGTCTGGGCTGATCAGCAACCAGTATCAAACTCTAACTAATGGTTAGTTTCAATGACAGGTAATATAGATGATTGCTTCGGCCTTTAAAAGGTCAGAAAATGGTGGAAAATGTCCATCAAGTGACTTCTTCAAACTGCCCCAACAGGCTGAAACCCAAAAAGATTTTTTTATCTGATTCACTGATTTCCAAACAACAACGTCACAAACATCTTCCTCCTTTTGAGCTGTAATTTAACTAATGCAGCTGTGAGGTGCATCAATTCTCCAAATTCTGACTGATTGATCGATTGATGCATTGATGATCAGTGTAACGTGTAAAAATAGTGACAACATGATACAGTAGCTCGACACTGGCGTCGATACTGACGTTATAAAGGCGATGGGGCGTCGGTCGGACATGAGAAACAGTTGATTTGTCACTATTGTTACAGCACTGAGTGGTTCCACCTTCATTCAGCAGAAATCCCTCACACACAACGTTTCCTTAATCACAGTTTTCTGTTCTGCTGCGATGAGCTGATGTCATAAATATTAACTCAGTTTCCACTTATAGTGACGGATTATTCGCAGTTAGACTCTCATGTACACATTACATATTAAATAGTTTGAATCAGTTCGGTGCTGTTGAGGTGTACAGATTTTGAACTGGCACTGGTGTTAGATCAGTGATCTGTTTGGACTTTATCACTGAATCTCTGTTTTTTTATCAAAATCTCATCAAATGAACTTATTTAGCAGCGACATAAATCAACATTAAATTCAATCGGTGATATTTGGTTTATCAGATGCATTTTACAACCTCACGGCCAAGTTTAAACATTAAAAATAAACTTGTGTAATGTATTTTTTGGTGTTAAAACGCCACTTTAGAGCAGCTTCATGTCGGATTGGTTCTGCTCTCAGAAGCTAAACGTGAGGACTGAAACAAACTCTGAGGCGAGCAGTGTGAACGCGTCCTGCGGCGGTGAGCTCGGTCTGTTGTGTCTGTACTCTGTAGGTACTTCTTAATGCTGATATGAAGTTATGAATTATTCTGGTCTGTACAAAAAAAATATGTGTGAATGGTTGTGTGACAGTGAGGATGTGTGTGTGTGTGTGTGTGTGTGTGTGTGTGTGTGTGTGTGTGTGTGTGTGTGTGTGTGTGTGTGTGTGTGTGTGAATACATTCAAGTGTTTTTCATTGTGTCTTGCTGTAATTTTGTCGCGACGTACCAGAATGCTGTGACTTGGCATGCCCCCGTTATACATAAAAACAAAAGTTGTAACTCCTCCAGTGTGTCTTTGTATGTGTGTATTTGTGTGTCTGTGTGTGACTGAGTCTGGACTGTAGGTTTTTATTTTAATTTTGTAGGTTTTTATTTTAATTTTACTCCTTTGAATGAAGTCCAGATATGCTGGATCTGCTCTCTTAAAGGGAAACTCCACTGATTTATACATAAAACTACTTACTTACTAAAGACAGTGGTTACCAACCTGGGGATCGGGACCCCCACTAGGGGTCGCCAAAGACACAATATAATAAAACGTATCCATAAAATAATATGTAATTGAGGCAGAGAGTTTAATAAATGATAGAAAAGTGGTCCCTGAAGGATAAAGTTAGGGAACCACTGACTTAAGAAACAAGTTTGAGATAGTTGAGGAAGATTTTTACATACAAAACAAAACAAAAATAATAATCAAGACAGAGAAAGAGATTGAAGTTTGCTGTTGTTCAGATTTATCGTGAGAATAAAATAAATGAGTTACTATGATAAAAGTATTAAGATAGAGCAGAGCCAGTTTTCCCCTTTAAAAATGTACTCAGATGTTCCCAAAAGTACTTATTTCTCCTCTTTGTTTTCTCTTCAGTTATAAATCTTTGCACACACTTGAATTCCTCACACAGACCACAGACTTTATATCTGAACATCATTTCACAAGATCAGAAAGTTTTTGACATTATTTGTGCAGAGTATAAAAAGCTTAAGGAAGGAAGTGCTGAGGATGGATATGCAGTATAATATACGACCACTGGGGGGCGCCAGAGCGACTCTAATGGTAAAAAAGAACTATTTTTGTTCTAACTGATCAAAATCTAACAAGGAACCATCCCTGTTAATCAGTGTGGGGTTTGATGGGGGGACTTTTCTCCCCTTTTCAGTGCGATCTGTAACGTTTTACAGGTTCAAACTGCAGTTAAGGTGACGCAGCAGGATGTGATCAGCTGACAAAGTAACACGAGTGCAGATATTTAACTGAAGCGTGTCGGGCAAACGGCGGAGAACACAAACTGTATGTTTATTGTGGAGAGCTGTGAACAGTCCAGAGCCCCTCGCTGCTGTGAGGTTTAAATTAAATGCATCAATGTGATGTTATAAAACTCTGAAGCTGCTGAGTCATTCCTCTCTGTCAGACATCCAGATCAGCTCCATGTCTCTGCTGTTCACTCTGGGCTCGGGGCCAGATTAACCCTCCAAGTGGCCCCGGGGCTCAAAAATGAGCTGTGGGCCCCCCCTTTTTTTTTTTTTTTAATTCTTGGGTCTAGTTCCACTTTATTTCATAATTTTCTACATTTTATGAGCTTATTGCATTCAGCTGTGGAGGTTCGAGCAGCGGTGTAGTTCCAGAGATATACACAGATATATGGAGTATACCCACTCCTACTGAATGATGTTCTTGGAGCTGAGTTTTTCCTCCTAGGATGGCAGATATCATATGAAACAAGATGACCTGACGCATCCATCGGTACCAACCACTTCATGCTGACATGTCGGGAAGGAGGCTAAATGACGCTCTAAACTTAGGCTACGTTTTGGCAATGGACCTTGACCTCGGACCTCAATATATCTGAATGAAAATGGGCTCTATGGGTAACAGCAAGACTCCCCTTTACAAACATGCCCACTTTATGCTGAGCACATACAGTTTGGGGCAAAAAACATGCTTTTTTGTAATGTTATTTTAGTGTATTTGAATGTTTCTGCAGACTTTGGTTCATAAACAGTGTTGTATAAAATGGGAATAACTGGAAACTTTCTGACCCCACTGCATAAGTCAGTGCTCCAAAAGTCTCTAATTTTTCTGACTAGATGGAATAAGAAGTAAGGGCTCCTTCACTCAAAGTGCATTTCATTTCATAATGATCAGAGCAGCAAACGTTAAGTGTCAATGTGTGAATGATACTGGGTGAGTAAGACTAGTCTTACATGTCACTGTTTCAACACAGGCTGTTTATTCTTTGTTGGCTTGGTCGCTTTAAAAAGAAATTGGGAGCATAAATTAAGAGTATAGACACTTTTCCAGGCACCACTACACCACTGCAGGCCAGCAGGTACTTCTCCTTAAAGGCCAGGTTCACCTTTTTCAACATGAACTCAACAGGAAGCTCCTCGTTTGCTGAAAGACGAAGCTCAGGGACTGTGGATGAGTTTCCAGCAATGATTTTCTATCATTTAGTAAACTGACTCAGTGATTTGGGTGAATTTTGAGCAGATTATTTCCTGTTTAGGGAACTTTTTATACAATTCACTGTCTGAATTCTGTATTTTTATAATTTATAACAATCATACAGACTTAATATTCTTCTTTTTTTGACAGATTCAGTGTCCCTGGTGCCATTGTTCTATTATAAAATTAACTTTTTATAAGTTATAAGTTTCTTCACAGAAGTGAACAGATGCTGAGATTTTAGCCCTACTAAGTTTCCTTGCATGCATTAAAACCAAGAAGGCCTTACAACCCCCCCATGAAGCTCTGGCGACCCCCCCCCATGAAGGTTGTGAACCACTGATTCAAACTGTAACTACGGGTGAAATCTCCTCGTAGCTGTAACAGTGAGCCAGAGATCTCAGGAATAAACTACGATATCTTCCACATGGCGGAAATAACTTCTGCAGAGTCAACAAACTACAGCTGGTGCAATGTAACTAAGTACATTTACTCAAGTACTGTACTCCAATACATTTCAGAGGGAATGTTTTACTCCATTACATTTGTCTGACAGCTTTAGTTACTTTACAGATTTTCATTATAACAAAATTGTTGCAGTATATAAAATAAAAATATATAAATTAAAACTAGCTGCAACATTAATGCATCAATAATTATAATCTAATTACACTATTAGATATATAGAGTATATATACTAATATTATATATATTTTATTTATATCTGCATAATGAGAACTTTTGGTACTTTAGGTATATCTTAACAGTAATACTTTAGTACTTTTAAGTTTGCAGGACTTTTACACTGCAGTATTGACACTTTTACTTCATACTTAATACTTCTTCCACCTTTAGCAAAGACAGTGTCACATTGAAATGAAATCTTATATTAAAACTAATGATTAAATTAGTTTTGTGTTTGTTTTTATTTGTTTTTGTTTGTTAATTAACGGCTATAAATTTGTAAAATATCGTATTATAACAAAAAAAAAAGCTACCTTTGGCTATTAGAGGGTTCCTAATGACAGTTTCTCTGTGTTTGTGTGTCAGTTGTGTAAAGAAACAACGCAGCCGTCGATGTCACATAGAGATTTATTTTCTTTGATTAAAAAGTATTTGAACTGAACACAGTACATAAAGTGACAATGATGGTGAAGGGGCCAAAGAACAGGCCGTCCTTCTCAACAAGGCCACAAAAAAACAACATCAGAGCCGTTTGTTAGCGCTCATCTTCCCCCCAACACACACACACACACACACACACACACACACACACACACACACACACACACACACACCACTCCTGTCACCACATGACACAAATTAAAACCTCCCAAAATGTGTCTGGGGACATAATGATGCATTGAAATGCAAAAATATGCTACACGAGTAAACACAAAGGTACTAAACAACACACACACACACACACACACACACACACACACACACACACACACTTGTCTCCACACTGTTCATCTGCTGGGATGAAAACACACACACACACACACACACACACTCTAACATACACACATTTCATTCGCCCCTCGTGGGAATTAAAATGTTTCAGACGGTCAGCAGCTCCCCGTCGGCTGCCTCGTCGTCACCGTGAAGTCATTTTTTAAATTTTTTTTGAATGGAGAGGCGAGTTGGCACATACAGGCGGATCCTTCCACAGGATCGTAATAATCAACATAATAAGACGTTGAGAAATTAAAATTAAAAAAGGAGAATACGTTCCATCGTGTTTGACATTTAAATTGTTGGTTTTTTGTGTGTTTTTGTTTAGAACACAAACTGCATCAGTTCTGCTGTTAAATCCACTGATAGCTGACACAAAAGTGAAAATGAGTTTGTAAACTGAGGTTTTCTGAGGTGTGACAGAGTGTTAAAAGTGTCTTTCATCACCAAAAAACAGCAGCAACCACGTTCAAAGAGATTCTCTGTGGAGGAAAACCTTTAAAGCCATACGTAGAACAATTATTTTCATTATCGGTTCATCTTTCAGTTCTTTACTCAGTTGATCGATTAGATGTTTAGTCTGAAATGTCAGAAATTAAATCTTTAAATCTAAATATATTTAATTCAAAACAATATAAAAGAAGAAATCCTCACATTTCAGAAGCTAGAGTGTGAAAACGTTTTGGCATTTTGACTTAATTAATTTTCTGTCAATCAGATAATCAATTAAAAAGTGAATTATTCATCATTCTGTGTTTTAGAAATCAGAGGCCGTACTAACTCGGGCACTTCGGAGATACTTTTAAACTTTTGTATTGTGAATGTGGCTCCAGTTAATTTAAGTCTCAGAGTTACAGGATTGTTAAGTTCTGATATTAAACGTCACCCGAGCTCAAAAACAAAAACATTTGCATACCGACGTATTTACATCTATAACATTAAAACTGATTTCTGACTCGTATCAGTAAATCTTTACACCCCTAATAAAAAATAAAGACTTTCCTGTCTGGGCTTCCCTACATTTCTGATTTTACCTGCAAATTTCTACATTTTTGTTGTTATTTGAGACACAATCTGCTTAAAGAGCGTTTAAACTCGACTGTAGCTGCTGATTGATATTTTATTCTGGTGATTGAAGTTTTAAACTCTCCTTCTGTATCTGAGGCCAATAACTGATATTTGATTAATGAGCACGCACGACACACGTGGACAAAAAGGGGGGTTAAAGTCTGTCCCGCCGTCTGAGAGTAAACAACACGTCGCCATGGTAACGCTAAAACCCAGAAAACACTCTGTCACTGCCTTTGGTTGAGATGAAAACACACACTCGTAGACACACACACACACACACACACACACACACACACACACACACAGGTGGAGGTAACCTCAGGCAACAGGAGGAGGAAGAGGAGGAGCTTCATCCTCCTCAGCTCCTGATCAGCGTCAGGAACTCGTCCCGGGTTTTTGGATCTTCCCTGAAAACTCCCAACATGGTGCTGGTGACGGTTTTACTGTTCATCTTCTGAACGCCTCGCATCACCATACACATGTGACTGCGGAGGGGAAGAGAGAGGAAGAGAGAGGAAGAGGGGGAGGGGGTGGGGGGGTTAAAACCGACGGCGAAGGAGGGAAGAGATTAAATCGATAAAGAAATTAAAAGGAGAGGGAGGAAGAATCAAAGTAATGCCAGATGGCAGCAGAAAAGAGGAAGGAAGGAAATTAAAGAAATTGAGTAAGTTAAATTATTGAACATGTTAAAGAATATTTAACTTAAATATTATTAAATCAAGTTATTTTTTTAAGAAAGCAGCCTTCTGGGTACCTTTGTGTCGTCATGTTAGTAAAAAATCGGTCTAATTTCATTTAAACAATTCACTATATCGGTGATCAGTGAATCTTTTCTCCTCCAAAATCAGCATCAGTCCCAAACAAACACTCCAGAAGTGATGCAATGAGAGTAATTAAAATAAACTGAAGTATTTAAAATGAGAGTGGAGTAGGAAGAAAGAGGAAGTGAGAGAGGGAAAGGAAAGAGGAAAGATGAAAACATTTCACTCTGTGTGTGTTTTTTTACGTACGTTGCCTCGATGACTACGCCGACCCCGGTGGGCTGCAGGGCCTCGGTGATCGCCACGGCAATTTGTTTGGTCAACCTCTCCTGAACTGTGGACAAACACGGACCAGGTCAGACAGAACAAACAACATCCAGGCTGACAGTAAAAAGAAAAACACTGAAAGTTCCCTGGGTACCTTGTAGTCGACGGCTGTAGATTTCAACAATCCTGAGAGGAGACAAAGAACAGCTCAGTAATCCATCATCAGTGCAACAACTAAACACTGCTGAGAGGAATTGAATTTAACGGGCCAATAACAGAGACAAAAACAACTTTTCCAATCCCTAAAATGTATCTACTAACAAGAACTGTGTGTATGTGAACGCCTCATGTATCTTCTGCCTTCATTGTCGTCCTGCTACAGCACCAAATGTGGAGTAATCTGCCGCTGAAAATAGTCCCCGACGAATGCACTTTCCTCCTGTTTTAGTGACTTTTACTTAAAACTAGCTTTTTTGTGAATATTAATAAGTTTAAAGTTAAGTAGGAACTGGCGGTAACTGATAATTACCTTCTTTTACTAACATTATCCCAAAGGTTTCCAACAATGTTAAAAACTCTGTCATTTAATTCAGGTAACGCTGCGTCTCACCGGTCGCCTGTCAATGGCGTCATATCCCCTTTGTGCCTGCGTCAGCGTTGTGGTCGTCATCAATCGACTTTTTTAACTCTAGATTTGAACCGGATGAAGGATTTTAGTCATCGGACGTCTGGATCTTAAGTTATCAGAGAAACAAGCTGAGCTAACGTTAGCAGCAGCTCGGCTCGCAGCCCCTCCGGGACGTCCTCTGTCTGTCCAACAGCGTGGGAGAAGCAGAGGTTTTTAAGGTGGAACTGCTTTATTCAGTGTGTTTAGTGGTTTTAATCAGCTGGTCTGTTAGTTTTGGAGAGGAGGAGACCTCTGTGGACAACTGGGCTCCTGGTAGAAACCTTCTGAACCATGAACACTGAAGGAATCCTAACTGGAAGAAACTGACTGCAATGCTGGTGAACACAACAACTCCCATGATCCCACGCTACCTCACAATGTCTTTTGTTCTGGTTTTGATGTGAGAGACCTCCTAGCGGCAGAAGTTATGGACTGTACGTTCATAATCTGTATTTTGTGCTACCTAAGGGTAAGAACGGAGGATGTAGTGAGCAAAGATTTGATATTCCAACCGAATCTGACATCCCTATTGTTGACACAAACAAAAAAAGCTGAGCTCTACCATCTTTTTTTAAAATGTCAACTTATGTCACGTCTCATAAACTGAGGTTATTTATGGACATTTCTCATGAACTTCATCTGAAGGCACCAAAATAATCATTAGAAACAAAAAAAAGAGACAACGAGGAGTCACTTTAAAGCTATTTGAGGGAACAGATCTGCAGAAACGACCCCGGTCTTCACCTTCAACCTGTTGCTCTTCTCTCTGAGCAAAACCACTTTGGACAAATACGACCTCATCCACCTCGGAGAAAATGTCACAAGGCTGAACGGGCAGCACGAGGAGTATCAGGACATACTGTACGTACATAAAGGAATGACTCTCCAGGGGGAGAGAAGAGAAACAGCAGAAGCTGCATCAGATGTGACAGTCGAGGAAAGGTGAATTTTGTCTCGCATGTAAATCATTCCCTGGAAAGCGGGGTCGTCTCCAAAGTCGAGACTCGATTCTTCTTAATGAGCTGCTGGTCTGGGAAATCTACTCGTAATCTTATTCCTGTTTCTCATTTTAAAGCCGGATTTGTTGACTTAATCAACATTACGAGGACAGGAGTGTGAAGTACAGGAGGTCTTGTTGGACAAGCCTTAAAGCCTCTGTAGCAAAGTTTGGGGTGGGGAAAAACTTAAAAATATTAAAACTAAAAATCGTTGCTTTAATTTGTCGATTACATTACCCAAAAAGCATTGGATTTTTATTTTCATCGTTACATTATGGGTACACTAGGTTAGAAATACGGACTAGAGCATTGGTGGACCTCCACTAGGGGTCGCCAGAGCTTCACAGGGGGTTGTGAGGCCTTCTTGATTTTTAGGAGTGTAAGAAAACTTAAAAAATATACACAGTAGGCTTATATCTCAGCATTATGTTAATTTCCTGTAATTTTTAAAGCTTATTCACTCACAAAATCTGTATTGTGTGGGCGTGAATGGTCAGATGAATTAAAGTTAATTAAACCAGGAGTCTGTAAACTGTGACGATGTTCACAGACAGACCGTTTGGTAATAATTATATCATTTACCTGCATTTTCTCTTCCAAATACTTGTGGTTTATTTGAAAGAGTACAAATAATTGTGGTCTTACAAAAATAAGAACCAAGTTGCGTGAAACCAAGCTCATTATTTTAAAGGTTTTTAAAGTCCAGGTGAAATGAAAAATGTAATTTTAACCCTTTAAGATCACATCCTCCGGTTATATTGTTCCTCTATTTAACAATGTATAGCTATTGGAGCTCACTGACAAAAACACAACTTTATTAGTGATTTGGGTGAAACCGAATCATATTTTATAGAGAGATTATTATCTGTCGCCAACAGTAACGTCAGACGCCGTTAGAGCCCCTCCCCAGCTGGAAATACATAAATATGCGAAAGCAAACAGCGCTCTGTTTTCTGTTCAATGCGGACTTTAAGTAGTGCCACCCAGTGTGCAGCAGAAGCTACAACGCACCACAACGTACGCCGGCCCGAAAGCTTCGTTCCTGCCTTAAAAATGTGAATGGTTTGGCTGTTTCTAATCTCTGTGTGAGTGTGTATGTCCAGTACTGCGTTAGTAAGGGGTGTTAGTGCGATAAGCCCGAAGGTATTGGGGTCAGTGGGATCAGATTCTACGCTAGTACACATACAAACACACACACACACACGTTTTAATAATCAGCTTAAATACACACTAGCTCTCACACACATACGCACACACATCTACAGTAAGTTGGCTAATTAAACACTGGGAAAACACACACACACACACACACACACACACACACACAGTAAATGTACTCACCTGGCCAGCTTGCTGAGACCCAGAACTCTCTTGTTGGGGAGGTAGCCGATGTGAACCTGCACAAAGTGACACATTAAACATCAGATGTTTCATTCTTCAGTTAACCCTGATCTCTCTAAATGATAGAGGGCTCATTGTGTAAAGGTATTATAAATTCCCAAGCTCAGTTAGACTGTTAACCAGTAACACTGCTTGAGGCGAGAGCGGTTGTGCCGCGGACATCGGTAACGTTGAACACAGGCTACTCTCCTTTATGTGGTTGTTTTTGTAAAAGAAAAGTGGTTTTTGTGGCCAAGAAGTAACATCAGAGAGCCGATGGGGACATCATGTTCTGGAACATCCAGGGTTCCCACTCTTTTTAAGAAATGGTTTTCCAAGGACCTTTCCAGGACCTTTCCAGGGTTTTTTCATTTGGCCACAGTTTAGACTAACGTAAAATTAAGATTTTCCATGATAACATTGATTATTTCGAAGATATTTTGTCATTTTTTAATCAATTTCCAGGTGTTTCCATGAGTGGAAAACTGCTGTCTAAATTTTTTTTTATTGCTCAAATTAAAAACATGCATTAAACAGATGGATGGAAACAAACAAATTGTCTCTTCCAACCAGCCTCCAGGCAGGTGCATACTGGGAATCTTTACTGGGAGATAGGGACGTGTCCTGGAAAACCTTGAAATTTAGACAGCAGTTTTCCATTTATTATCAAGGTGCAGACAGAGTAAATGTCCATACCACCTATGGAGACAAACATCAGCGATGTTAGAAATGTCAGAAATGTCCATTTCCAAGAGAAAATAGCGACAACCGCACTACGTTGATGCCTCTCTGTCGCTCTCTCTCTCTCAGGTGCTCCTCACTGGGGATGACTGGCCCCATATTTAAGGGAGGAGCAGGAGCTTTCTCCCAGACAAAGCAGCCTGTTGATCTCATCAGTGTTAGCTTTCTTATTGTTGTGTTTTATTCTTTGAGGATGGAGATCTTGTGGTCTGGTTTGGTTACAATGGTTTTGATACTCTGGCTAACCCCAGACTTCCTTTTGTTCTTTTTGGCCAGACCTCCACACTCCCACAGCTTCTGTTATATTTACTGGCATTATTTGTTAATAAAATCAATTTTGTTTTAAACACGGTTCAGCCTGGAAAACCTGGAAAACCTGAAATGTAGAAACTAGTTTTCCACTTATGGAAACACCTGGATATTCATGGAAATGACTAAATATCCTGGAAATAATCTAAATTGCAATCTAATTGTATTTGCTTTGCTAAGCTCAAACCTCAGAGTGTTTTAACTTAACCTTTTCATTTGTTCTCCCGTGTCAGTCAATAGCTGTTCACACCGCTTGCAGCAAACCTATTTTGGAAACGCTGTAGATGGTTATATCTACATACATACAGCCTATTAATGTATTAATTAAAAAGAGAATTGCGCAACTGTTTCTACCTTTCTTATTTTTATGAGTTAATAGTCCAGAAGATACATTTTGTATCAAATAAAACCAATTCTTCTTGATTTGAATGATTATTTATGGGCTGTGGCCAAATTAATGTTACGATTAGAGAAAAACTGGAGTCAATTCACCTGAGAACTTTCAAGCGCGGCGGTTGTGAGCAAGCATTGTTATCTTGTATTGTCAAGAAAAACTCCTGGAAAATGATTTCTTAAAGAGTGGGAACTACATGTCCACTTTATATGTTACTGGTCACAACTGGTTGAGCCAACATGTTTATTTTGTGGCCGTAAGGGTGGTAACAACAGTAAACTGTGCCCTGTTGTGATGGTGAGTTAAACTGTTATAAGCTTTTACTCTACTAAAATATATCAAGTGTTTGTCCTGAAACATATGTGAGATATTAGCTCTGAGGGGCAGTATATGACAGTTTAGAAATCAAAGAAACAAAAAGCTGAGAGCAGGGCAGGAGGATGAGCAACAGACGAGAGGAGGAAGAGACGGAGTAACCAGCTGGAGAATTGCTGCTGTGGATGTCTGGAGGCTCTAATTCTCTTACACACACACACACACACACACACACACACACACATGCACACACGCACACACACACACAGTGCGCTCCACTCAAATGTCAAATGCAATTTGTTGACAAGACGAGAGAAAGGGCAGCGGCAACAAGCGTGCAAAGATCTCTATTTCTCCTTTTTCTTCCAATCCCTCCCTCTGTGCAGCAGCGGCCTGACATATCGGCATCAAACACACCGACTGTGACGGCTGCTTTTTTTCACTTATCTGCTCACGTTATTCAGATTTACTGGCACATGCTGCAAGCGATGAAAATAATAATAATACAGAATGAGAGAAGCCTTACAGAGTCTGCTTTAGCCGCTTACAGCTTTGGTTTAATGGCACATTTTTACTGTTGTTGTCTCACTGCTCTCATCAACCTCTGTCTCCTAAATGTCCGACTATGTGGTGAAGATTTTTCTCAGGAGTAGGTGGGGACAGCTGAAAGGAGAGTGAATGTTGGATTTATGTTCCTCAGGTGGCGAGAAATATGACCGTATATGAACGTTGCTCTGTGTATTTTGGAACTATAAATAGGTAACTGTTTGTACAATAACAACTTTATAAGGTGATAATAGATCAGAGCTGTGTGCCTGTTACAGAGTCGTTTCCACCCTCTTGTGGCCCAAAGTTTTAAGTTTCTTTAAAGGTCATATAGCCTATATGAGATTTAAAACATTAATACTGCAGCCAGCTCCTTTTGCCTTTGTTGTTATTGCAGCCTCTGTGTGGTTTGTGAACAAATCCTGTTTGGCTGAGCAGGTGAGTCCCTCGTTTCCATTTGAGTAGAGCGACTGAAACAGCTGTTTTTATCATCTACGTTAATGAATTACCGATATATTTCAACCAAACCAGAGCTGCCGATTGTTAGAACAGAGGAAAGATTAACTAAAGATGGTTTTTGGTGAGTTTTATTTTGTTTCTGTTTACTTTGAATGAAGTTACGATGATATGCTCAGTAAAATTAGTATTTTTGTCTATGGGGTCATGGTGGTGCATGGAGCTGCAACAAGCACTCTGCCTTGGTACATGGGGCACCAGCTCTACCGGGTGAGCTACCAGGGCTCCTGTTTCTTATTCTTTGTGTATATTATTTAGGGGTAGGATATTAGGGGAGAAGTTGGAGACAACATCAAACTAGGGACACTGTGAACACACAGGAAGTGTCCTAACCCACTAATCCCGCCTTTCTTCCCATTCTATAAAATCAAATTGTCTTCATAACTTGAATCCCTTCAGATTCAATAACAATGGCCATGTAGTGTATTACAATGGATGGACACTGAGTTGTAATCAGGTAAATGGTGCCTCTGTCATTCCCACTCTGCACCCCATACGCTCGTTCTCGCAGTATGTAACTGAAGTTGTGTAACGCTCTGCAGGAGAACTCACACACCAACAACCATGTCGCTGATTTTGTTCAAACTGTAAATCATGTAAATCATATTTTATGGAGGAAATGTTTTCTGGTTTTCCCTCAGATGTCCTCCGGCTGCTCCGCCTTTTCCTGGACAGTAAAGTAACTGCTGCCAAATGTAGCTGCTGTTAACTAGTTATCTCAGCTGTACTGCTCTGGGTGTTGATGTTTATAGCACCGGAGCTTTGACTGCTAGGAAAAGGGCGTTTTTTGAGGCCTGAGAGAGGGGAACGCTGATGCAGAGCGGCGCTGGCGTTGTGCAGGGCGAGCGGGCGATGTATCCGAGCTCAGCAGCTTCTATGGACATCGCTATTGGCAGAAGTGAAGAGACCTAAGAGGACGGTAACGGAGGAAGCTAAGAGCTAAGTTGTTGTTGAGAGCTTTGTGAAATAAAAGGCTGCAGACAGACGGCGAGCTGGTGTTATTGCTGATGGACTAGTCAGTAATTTTAGCTGTTTGCTGTCGTCCTTTGTTGCACTTGTTTGATGTTTGACTGAGCTGTCAACTCGCTATATTCCTATCATAAGTAATGTAATTATAACGTTTACAGCTGTCCATATTTACGTCAAATGTATTGCAACCAAATCTCACATAATGTTGCTTTAAGGGTTGAATATGAGACCAAATGAGGTTTTTCTGCAACGTATTTTCTCTTCAAAAGTTCTCCAAACAGTTGATGTGACAGCCTGCAATAAACTGCTCCTGTGTGGCAGACAAACAGTTTATCAGACAGCCAGCGGCTACCTGCACGCCATGCGGCCAACAATAGAGGAGGAGAAGGAAGAAGAGGAGGAGGAGGAGGCCTCTCTCTGTGTGGTGACTCACTGAGACACACAACAGACAGACGGACAGATGAGAGAGGCTTGATAAGAGACAACGCTGCTGACGATGACGAGGGGAGGGAGGAGGTAAACAACCACCTGATGGCCACCAGACACACACACACACACACACACACACACACACACACACACAGGAGGTGTGGTAAGTGTTTGTGTGATTCACTGCTGTCATCAGAGCCCATTTACACCGGTGGAAAAGGATCAGCTGCCAGCCCCTATTGTCTTAAACGAGGTGCACCTGCAGGCGAAGATGGAGGGATAAAGGAAGCAGAGGAAGAAGAATCAGAAAGAGGGACGAGGCCAATCGGGTTTTAGTGGAGAGTAATGATGTCAAAGGAGCGGCGAGGAGGCAAGAAAAACAACAAAAGAGAGGCAGGATAAACAGATCTCAGCTAATCTGATTGTTTCTCATGTTCTCTGTCTCATACTGTCTCTGTTGTTCAGACCGGCGGCCTCCAGATAAACGTCAGAGAGAAACTGTCTTTAAGATACACATCTGTGCATGTTTTTTAATGTTTGTGACTTTTTCTTGTATTAAATTATGAATATTTTTAGCTTTCTCTGAGGCTACTCTACACAAGCTCGGCTGCAGCTACTGTAAGCGGTGTATATTTATTGATGTGCCGCTCTCGAGCGCAGCTTTACGGAAACCTTTTGATTCATGGGCCATTTGTGTGTTGTAACATGTTTAAATTAAACTTCATTCTTCATCTTTTTTCTATTTAAAATGTGTAATTGTCAATTTCAGGCCATTTAATGTATTTTTTTACATGGTTCCTACGTGGAAGATTGTAAATTTTTTGGTAGTTTTTAGCATCTTTCTTTAGCAAATACATGAAATGTAGCCACCTGGCATCAATGCTAAAAACACAGTTTACCAAAACTATCTTTGTTGTTTCTTGTTTGTGGTTTTGTTTTATTTTGTTATAAAAGTAAAATACATATATATATATATATATATCAGTTGCTGACATACAGTAGTTGAGCGTCCTGTCTGTGTCTGTAGTTAGAGTTCGGGGTTTTGAAGGTTAAAGGAAGACAGTTTGTAGGATTTAGTGGCATCTAGTTGCAGATTGCAACCAACTGAATAACCTGGTCCCTCTACAGCCAGTGTTTGGTTTGTTTGTCCTCCACTGCTGTAGAAACATGACGGTTTAAAATGGCAGACGGTCTGGTTTTCCTGCCATCATATGTGTGTGTGTGTGTGTGTGTGTGTGTGTGTGTGTGTGTGTGTGTGTTCTCCTCTCACCCTGCCGAAGATGGGCACCAGGTGATGTTCACACATGGAGAACATGTCGATGTCTTTGACGATCACCATCTCGTCGTGGTCTTCGTCAAAGATGGCGTCGTTCAGCACGTCTGCGGAGAAAGAAAAAAACGGAGGAGAGATGAAACGAAAGGGGATAATCTCCTAAAAACAGCAACAAGTTCTCCTTTTAAACTTTAATTTACAGATTTACATACTTGACTACAACCCTAACTGATCTGCTGTACACTCATTCAACCATTAGTCCATCTACATTAAACACTTTCTGCTCCTGATTTAATTGAATGATTTAATGATATCTAACCCAGTTACGTGTTATATATCTTTATTTTATGTCCATCGCCAGCGTTTAGCTCTGGATGCGTCGAGGACAGACAGATGGAAACCACCAGGGACGCCCTGTTCACCTCCGTCTCTCTTTATCGTCAACTTTTGGTGTTTCTCTCTGGCAAACATCGCCGTCTAATTATAGCTCTGCTTCCATACACTCCTTCCTGTTGTTGCTTTATTGCATTTTTCAGTTGCCGGGGGTTCAATAAACTGCTTTATCTGTTTGTGACAACGCAGGCGCCTCTCGCTCTCACCGCGGCACTTTTTAATTTCCTGACTGGCTATCTGTTAAAGGGAGAGAGGAGGAGCGAGGTCACTGAAACAATAGAGAGCAGACTGACTTGTTGCTTCAGGCTTATTGTATGAGAGTGTGTGTGTGTGTGTGTGTGTGTGTGAACAGGGTAACAGGTAGATGAGAACAGACACATTCAGACACTCTTAAAGTCTCCTTTTTTTTTTATTATGACGTTTGAGTGATAATGCCATGACACCCTTCATCATGAAGATTTTCCCACCGCCTCACACACGTTGGTGTTTTCGCTTATTTGAGACTTTTGAAAGCTTTTTCTCTGCAGATGAGGCGTTCTGCTTTGGGGCAGTTAGATTCTCCTCTGCACGAGAAACCGTGAGTCCAATCGCTTTGTTTTGTTTGTCTGATTAGATTTTTTTATGATGCTGCGATTCATCAGTGTTCATTTTAGGTCCATTTACTGTGATCAATCTTTCTACTGATGGTTCTGATAGTCGCTGTTCCTCACCGCCGTGCAGCTGAACACTCATACTGGTGGAAACTGTTGTTTTACCCTGGCGAACAATAAATGTACAGTTGCAGCACATTTTAACATTGAACACGCTTTAAATTACGGCTGCACAATTAATCGAAATATTATCAAAAGCGCAATATGGCCAAGTGCAATGTGCAAAATCACAACAGCTGCAATGATAAAGGTGAAATGTGACAATACAGCATTATAATGAAGTACTGTAGTGCTGCAGAGATGTCCTGGCCTACGAATCTTGTTCTCCACATGTAAGTAAACATGTTTTTGTTTGGCACAGACCCCCAAAACAATTTCACATCATTATAATCTTAATATTTTTTGGGGGTGAAAATTACATTTGTAATAAAAAGATCATCATTCCCACATTAATCGCAAATCATATCCCGATATCTGTGGAAATGATGGCTCTATGATGTTTTTACCATATTGTGCAGCTCTACTTTAAATTAAAGCATAAACCTGTAATTAATGCACGTTTACCCTGGTTCTTTAAATGTAATCATATGTTATTAAACAGTTCTGTGAAGCTGCAGACACAGTGGTGTTTTGAGACATTTTCACCATCTTTATTTAGCAAGAGTAGCCTATGGCTGATGGGAAATGTCAAATGTCCATATTAGGTTATTAAGTGATCACCAAAGTTGTTGTAGTTTATCCTGAGGGGAACATGAATGTCTGTAGCAACTTCAACAACAATCCATCCAATAGTTGTTTAAGGATTCAAAGGCTTCATATGCAAAAATAACAAGTGGTCAGTGCGGTGAAGTTCTTAGTTCACAATGTAGCCATCAGATATTCGATTGAAATTATACTTACAACTAATTTTAATAAATAAAAAAGGATAAAAATGAATAGAAAGTATGTGTAGGCAAATAAAAACAGACATACACACACTGATATCCCCCCACCACTTACATATAAACATACATAATGCAAAAAGCAGTATGAAGTATAAAACAAAACGAGAGTGGCTTCTATCTGAAATCTGTGTGATCTACACCAGAGTTTAACCAGCTCCTGGACACACTTTATTGATCCACAAACAAAGAAGAACTGATTCTGGATGCAGTCTGCCTTCAGCTTGACACTGTAATAAAGTGGTAATCCTGTTTTGGAGAGTTTAGGAACAAAGTGGGAGCAAGACTTTGCTGCTGATAACACTGAAACCAAGTTAACTGCTGAAGATCTGGGAATGAAGTCCAACGGGTAAGAAACATGAGCGGTCAGACAATCAGACTTTTTATAATATTTAATATTTTTTATAGCCTTTTATACATAAATAAGTAAATAAGTTTGACTGACCTGGAGGTTTGTTTAAAATCTGATCTTCTGACTGCAATGTTCTCTAAATCCAGCTTCTCAACTGTGGAGATTTGCAGCTTTTCTTCATCTTATTGGACAATGAACTTATAGTTGATATTTTGGGGTTATCATTATGATACATTTTGAGTTGTGTTGGTTTCAACCTCATGAATAAAGTCCAATAGAAGTCCAATATTCACGCTCTTTTAGCTTTGTTTTTGGTCTCTAGCGATCCCTTGAAGGAAATATCTGGATCTTTATCTGCTTAATGCTCCACTATGTTCACCAGATAGACTTAGTGCTAAGCAGATCACAGAGGATTTATAGATCCTTTTCTCTGAAAATGAAGCTATGAATGAACCAGAACAGTAAAGTTTTGAGCCTTACAGCTAAACAATAAGCTGAAATTCGCTATAAAGCTGATGGGAGCAGGTTCACCACTGTGAGGGGGGTTCTTCGCAATACAGGACAGACAGTTACGGTTTTAATGGGCGTTAAAAAGATCGCTATACAAGACTGCTACAAACCAGCACTGCACACAGTTTATCCTACCAACAGTCCAGTTTTAAACATAATACGCACCCAGGTTGATCTGTGTGAGAGGCTAAAAACAATACAAATTTCTAGAGAACAGAGATTATTTTGAGGATATTTGATCATTTTAATCAATTTCCATCACCCGGAAACTAGTCTCTACATTCCCAGGTATTCCAGGTTTTCCAGGGTGTGTGGGAAACCTGATTGTTATTTAAAAAAATTTCAACACTTAACTTGTACAACTGTCATGATAGAAAATACAAAAATAAGACAACAACAAATTAATTGACAATAACACTTAATTGCACAAACACTCTGCCCACCTCCACATTGTAGCTTCTTACACCATCAGTTACAGTGAAAACACACACACACACACACACACACACACACACACACACACACACACACACACACACCCTGAAGGAAAATAACCTTAAGTCAACCTTAACTTAATAAATAGCAGCTGGTTCAGACGCCCTGGGTATCACTTAATGACAGTGCCACTCATCATCAGCTCGCCATTCAATAGTGTTGCCTCCAATATGTGTGTGTGTGTGTGTGTGTGTGTGTGTGTGTGTGTGTGTGTGTGTATGAAGAGGCCACATGTTGACACACTCTGAATGAAGCAGGAAACGTTGAAGTGAATGACTAAATAAACACGGTTATTCATTTATTGTTCAGACAGCCAGTGTGTGTGTGTGTGTGTGTGTGTGTGTGTGTGTGTGTGTGTGTGTGTGTGTGTGTGTGTGTGTGTGTGAGTGTGGCACAAACACACACTCTTCCTATACATAGTCGTAACCCTGGGCGTGTACTCATGAGTCACCGCTGTACATCCCTGCCTTTCGAATACACACAGACAGTTTGTGAGCTTTACGTTCATCATGATGTTCTCAGATCTGCGCAAACTCAGGAAATTGTGTTTCTGTTTATTTAAAAATACATTTATTGACGAAAGCTGAAGACTTGGTTGGGTTTTTTTTTTTCTGTGTGTGTGTGTGTGTTTGTTGCTAGGTAACCACACAATCAGCTGTCAGTCCTTCAAAAACAGGTGTTGGGTAGCGTGCTAGCCAGTTAGTGGGAAACAGCGTAGCTGATGTTTTAAGTGTGTTTGAATAGTGGAACCTGGTTTTAAAGGATCACTCTGTTTAATTAATTTAATTAACTAAACACGTCGTTAAAAATTAGACGGGCGGGTCGAGAAATGACGTTACACCGACGAACCTGGAGGAGAAAATGGAGGTAAAGAGTAAAATCCTCCCCCGTCGTAAACACATCGTACTGCAGTCGCACACAAACAGTTTGATTGTCCATTGAGGGATTATTGTTTGAGTTTTAAAGTTGTTTAGATCTGTAGTTCTCAAACTATGGTATGAAACAAACAAATAAAATACAGCACAGGAAGGGCGTGTGTCACCCCGGTACATCGCTGGCTTTAAATACACTGTTTGTGTTTGTTTACCTCCGAAATTGTTTGTTTGAAAAGCTAAACGTCGATTTATACAGACTGCAGCAGAGTTTTCGTTTCATTAAAATTTTAATTTCGGGACCTGATTACAATTTCATTTTCTTTCAATACATTCGGACATTTGGACTTTTGAAACTGGAGTAGGAAATCATCCCACGCTGCCGCCACTGGAATCTAACTCGTGGTACAAGAGCTGCCTCTAGTGGCACACGGTGGAATCTCTAAAATATATCGTTTTAAATGAAATAAATTTATATAAAAACACATAAAACTATCAAAACACTACAAAATGTCAAATTGAAACACTTACTATGAGATCGCTGACATGCAATTTAAAATATTTTTTGCGTTTCCGGTAATATTTTGTTTCAATATCTCGTTCATGAATGTTACAACGATGAACGTCAAAAAAAATACTGCAATTGTGGCTCCAAACGGGAGCTATTGGGAAGAGAAGTGTGCACCAGGAGGATTAATTAAACTTAATTAAATGTCCAGTGTGTAACATTTAGGATGTATTGGTGGAAATGGAGTATAACATTCATATAGGGATGTTTTTATTACCTTAGAAACCTCCTCCAGTGACTTTTACCACCATATTTCTTTTGTGTTGTATCTCCTACACACTTGGAACCAGGAGGGTGGTGAGGCGAGGGGGTTGTAATCTGCCACTACATCCTCCACACTGGACCTTTAAAAGTGTAAATGCAGTACTTTTACCTGCAACCAAGTATTTTTACAGTGTAGTATTAGTACTTTTACTTAAAGGACCAGTGTGCAGGTTTTAGTGGCATTCAGCAGCGTAGTCGCTGATTGCAGCACCCTTGCCACACCCTCCTATTCAGGGTGTGTAGGAGGAACTGAAAAGGCGCCCAGTGAGTATGTAGATAAAAACTCATTCTAAGGTAACAAAAACATGACAATTCCTATATCCAGGTGTTTATAGACTAGTGAAAACATAGTTATTAATATTATTATATTCCATTTCTGCCAATAGATCCTCCTAAATGTGACACACTGGACCTTTAAAGGTAAAAACGTGTTTCCTAAACAGAGGAATGCTTTAATCTGAAATGAGGCTCCTGTAACAAGCTCAGAATTCCTGCTTAATCTCTGCATAACTTTTCCCTCATTACAGTTTCGTTGGTCATGTGTGCCACAACAAGAGGATTTCAGGCTCAGGTCGTGATGAAAGCTGAACCTGTGACCCCCCCCCCACACACACACACACACGTGAACACACACACGTGAACACACTGATCAAACAGTGTGACACTCACTAAAAATGCTTCTTCTCTCCACAAACATCCAGTGCTCTGAGAACTACATGTGTTTTTTGTGTTCTCTGTTTTCCAACAAGTCAAAGGGGAGTCTCCAGTAACAGCCAATCAGCAGGCAGACAGAGCACCACTGCCGCCACAGCCGCCGTCGCCTGACGAACAACACATGTGCGTCATCGTTATCTTCAGCACTGTCCATCCTTTGCAGTTCAGAGGTGAGAAGAAGGTGGTGGTGGTGGTGGTGGTGGTGGTGGAGGGGGAAGTGAAGACTCTCACTGGGAGTATTTTCTCTGCATTCCTTCTTTGAGCGTTTCGGCTTCATAACACACAAAACGACCCCCACAACAGCCAAACTGCCTCCAGATGGGAGTTCTGGAGGAGGCTGAGGCGGAGAACAGAGAAGGGGGCAGATCCCCGACTCCAGCTGGCCAATGTGGACCTGACACTGAGTATCAACCCCTCTCCAGGTGCCTTCGCCCCCCCCCCCCCAAGGCCTGCCCCGCCCACCTGCTTGTGACTCAGCAAATCCTCTCTGGAAGTAACTCTGGAGCAGCAGGATCAAACATCAAGCAGGCAGATCTGAAGGGTTTCTGTCGGCTGCGATCGGGCAAATCGATCTTATTTTAATATCAGTGACTCTCTCAGCTTATAAAAAAACAACCTTTTTTAGCTTTGACAGCAACAGGTTGGAGGAGTAATGGATTACATGTAACACAGTGTTACAGACTATAGTTACATTTAGTATAAATGGGGATTATAAACAGGATTACGATTTTAAAGCACATTTTAAAATAAAGAATTAGATACTACCATACACAAGAGTCCTTTCTGGTCATTATCACAGCCTCTAGTGTAGGAAACACCTTCACTGGGTGGAAGTTTCACCATTATTTTGTCTTTAAAGGTCCAGTTTGTGACATTTAGGAGGATCTATTGGCAGAAATAGAATATAATAATAATCACAGGTATGTTTTCATTAGTGTATAATCACCTGAATACAGGAAGCGTTGTGTTTTTGTTACCTTACAATGAGCTGTGTTTATCTACAGATGTGAGTCGCCTTCTGTGGAGGTCGCCAATGTTTCTACAGTAGGACGCGAGCGGTGTTCAGTTAGCTGCAATCTGCAACTTCACCACTAGATGTCACTAAATCCGACTCGTCCTTTAAAGCAGGAAGAAGAACAGTGAAGTTCTGCCTCCCAGCTGCTCTATAAGTTACTGCCTGAATTTAACAGAAATGAATCACCCTAACCCCAACTCAAGATCTTTGATTCATTATTTAGTTTATAAAATGCAAGAAAACACTGAAAAAGACAAATTTATTTCTCCTGAAAGTAAAAAAAAATACCTTGTTTTGACCGACCAACAGTTAAAAACCCCAAAATAACCTCACAGTTATAAAATCTTGACCATTAACTAATAATTATTTTCATTTTTATTCATCAATGATTATTTTTCTGATTGAATATTTGATGTTAACCTATTTAAAATCTTGAGTAAAAATACGAGCAAACATTAAAGTATCAAAAGTATTTACAGGCATCAGAAAGGCTCCACTCAACTGTAAATGAATATATAATTATAATATTGACTTATTATTACTTATTGATTAGTGTCCTTTATATTCTATTAACTGATCGGCTGTTCTGTGGCAGTGGTGTAATGTAACTAAGTACTTTACTTTACAGATTCTTGCATACGAAACATACAAAGAGTTTATAAAATATGATGTTTTGTTCTAAATTAAACAACAGTTTATAAATATACAACTGAAACTGTTATTGATTGACAGAAAATCGATCAGGTTTCTCAACTGTGACAATTTGCTGCTTTTCTTTTTAATAACTTTAATTTATTTGTAATAATTTTGAAGGTTTGGACAAAACAAGTCATGTGAAGGTGTCACTTTGGGTATTTCTCACTTTTTTTTTAGACTTTTTACAAACCAAACTTGTAATAAAAAATAAAAATTATAATGAAAATATAAACATTAGTTGCAGTTCTTATTAATGCCTGAGTCATAATAATCTAATGATATCATAAAACAGTATAACAGCAGCACAGGAGACATTTTACACTTTTAATACTTTAAGTACAATTTTCTTGATTACATACTTTTACTCAAGTAACATTTCCAAACTTGTAACAGAGTATTTGCACAGTGTGGTATTTGTACTGTCACTCAACTAAAGGATCTGAATACTTCCTCTAACACTGGAACAATACAGCTATTATAAAGTACAATATCTCCCTATGAAAGGCAGTGAAAGTACTAAACAAGTACCTGAGTAAAAGTACTTAGTTACATTCCACCACTTGCCTCTGATCAGTTAAAAAAAAGTATTATTTTAATATAATCTACACTCCTCAGGCTGTAAACTGACCCCAGAACGGATGTGAAGTGAGTTTTGTTGTCTGTCCTGTGTCGGACCTGCCACCTGTTGAACCGCAGGACAAATCCCAGCAGCCTCTGAGCGGCTTTGTGGATTTAAAAACTCACCGATAATTTTCTCCTGGTAGCCCTTGGTGAAGAACTGCATGGCGGTGGCGGCTCTCCAGGGGGTTTTGAGGAGCCCCTGCCGCTGCGGGTCCTCCCCGAGCCCCCGCAGGATGGTGGTGTAAGCGGCGGCCAGGGACGGCAGGCTCATCTCGTTGTCCTCCACGCTCCTGGTGCGCTCCTCCCTCCAGCTCTCCATCACCGAGGCGGCCGACCGGTGCGAGCCGCACTCCGCGCCAAGAGGCTGGGGAGCGGATGCGCGCACGGTGCCGCCGGCTGGCCGCTTCACCATCCCGTCAAAGTGTCCGTTGAGCACGGAGCCGCCGTCCCCGGTGTCTTTCTTCTCGTTTGAGCTGTACTGAGTCTGTTTGGAGTGCTCCATCACTTCTTCTTCCTCTGTCTGCTGAGCCCTTGTTGGATCGGGTTTTCTCCTCCACTGTTTGCTTTGATGGACACTTTTTGGTTTTAAGTGCGCGCTCCTCCTCGCAGCCGCTGCATCCTCAGGCTTTATAACAGCAGGATTATCCAGGGAGAGCTCCTATTGGCTGGGCCGGCTCCAGGGGGCGGGGCCAAGAGGACCTCACATGGACCCTGAAGATGAGGGGCTGCAGGACCTACAATGTTCCCTTAAAGTCCTGGTTTTAGTGCAACCTGGATTAGGAGACTTTACTTTACTATGGAAGCTTATTTCTGCCAGTATGATGTAAGGAAAACAGATCCTGCACCTTAAAACAACAATTTAGTATCAGAAAGTCATTCATTTAGTCAAAATATTGACTCAGAATCCTTTTTTTCCATCACATTGGCAGAAATGGGCTTCCAAGTGTGGAAAGAAAGAGGAAACGATAATAAAACAAAAAATAAAGGGTGGAGGTCCTCTTAATCAGTGGCTCCCAACCTTTTTCCTTAAAGGAACCTCTTTTCTATCATTAAGTAACCTGACGATGAATTTTGAGATTATTTCCTGTGAATATCTCATCAGGGAGGAGTTTTCCTGATATTTTTAGTAACTTTTTATACTTTCATCTGTCTGTACTCGTCTCTGGAGGCTGTTTATCGGAGCGTGAACGCTCTGTGAATCTAACTTAAGGTAAACTTTAGATCTTGAATAATAACTTTAAAACATAAATTAACTAAATGCTGAGATATAGTCCTACTGTGTATATCATTATTAAGCTTTCTTACACCCCTTAAAAATCAAAAAGGACTCGCGACCCCTCTGTGAAGCCTTGGCGACCCCTAGTGGGGGCCCCGACCCCCAAGTTGGGAACCACTGCTGCTCTATAATACTACACAGGCAGCAAAAGTCAACTTAAAAGAAATATTTTGACTTTTTAGACGAGAAGTCTGACCGAGATCAAAAGACGAGGATATATTTAATATATTTTCTACTGTATAATGCAGGAGACAGAGTGCCACACACCGAGTGTGGATTCATCCGCCGCTGAAAATAGTCCCAAACTAATTTCTTTCTCCTTTCCTTCATGTTTGAGTAACGGTTTATAAAAACTACAGTGAGCAGCTGTTTCAGGGTATTATGAAGCCTTATTAAATAAATGAAGATGTATATTTGTGATCAGTTTTAAACATCTTCAGTAGACCGACAGACAGACAGACAGACCGACCGACAGACACAGACAGACAGGGAAGTCATGAAGTATCTTTTCAGATGATTTGTTGACAGCAGATCTTTCACAGCAGCCATTTTGACACAAAGCCTTTCCAGTGAAGCAAACATGAACAAAAGGAGCCGGACTCTGTTTGACCTGAATGGGAACGAAACCTTAATTAGTGTCATTAGTAACACCTGTGTTTACCCTACCGTTTCATGCCAAAATGGCTGCTGTGAAATAAGAAAATCAAAGAATATTTATCTTCTAGCTTTATCCTTAAAACAGGGTTTCTGCAGGACTTTTTACGACCATTATAAACACAATTAAAGACCTATTTTACATCCATACTGGCAAAAGAATGTCAAATTCTTAATATTTGATTAATACAAATTTTCCCAAAAACACATTTAAAAGCAAGACGGAAAATGTTAAATATGATTTTTAATTAAATTAAAGACATTTTAAGGCCTAAAATTCTGATTAGTTAATACCAGACTTCTTCAGCAGCTGCACACGGCCTGTATAAAGATCTGATTCTGTACCGAATTCTCCCTTTTTACTTGTTTCATGTGAAGAACAGCGACACCACAAAAAGGAAAACAAGGACTAAAAAACGTTAACTAACAAACATTTACATTTATTCCATTGTTAAAATACAGTTTTGGAAACGTTACACACGTAAAAAGAAGGATCCATTAATGATGAACGTCACTGATCCATCACCAACTTCTGGAGGCATTTTAAGGGCTTTAAATGTTTCTGATTAAGTGCCTCAAAGAACCTGATGATCAACACAGTTTTAACTCTATTAAAACGTTTAGCTTTTGTTGAAAGCGAATGCCGAAAGCTTGGAGGTCGGATCCAAAGATTTCTTCTTCTTGGCACTATTTTCATCCGCTTCTGCTCGTCCATTTTCATTTTCCACATCCCTTCCTCCTCCTCCTTCTTCTCCTTCTGCTCTTTTCCTCTTCTTCAGATCTGCTGCGTCTCCAGTCTGCCCTTTCGCTCTTTCCGTCCACGACTGCACCGGGGAAAGAAAAAAAAAAAAGAGGACATGAAATGCACATGTTAATTACCGAACAGGACAAAAAAAAAAAAAACTAAATTGCATTGTTCTGTTTCTATCCAGGCTCCAAACACCTACATGATGACGACTAAACACACGCGGTGGACACTCAGGCGTGCAGTTGAAATTGCATCCTGTCATGTATAATCACTATTGACAGGCTGCATCTCTTTGGCCTGCTGGCTCTTCTCCTCCTCGTGCTTTTATTTATTTATTTGTTTGTTTGTTTCCCTCCCCTCTCTGAGCCGAGACAAAAAGAAAGCGCTTTCCCTGGACGTAATGGAGCCGGGATGAATCATCGGGGGCCTGGTGAGTGGACTGGCAGCACACACACACACACACACACACACACACAAACACTCTTTCACCTCCAGCGCCCGATGAAGCGCTGCCATTAACCCCATACATATTACACACACACACACACACAAGCTGGTAGATGGTACAAGCTGTGACGTCTCGCTATTGAATTGTCATTTTATTGTATTTGGACGGAATAATGTAATTAGGAGCAACTCACACACACGTTAACGCGGTTTCAGGCTAAACGTCCCCCTGCAGGGTCGTTGACCACGAGGCTCAACGCTGTAAACTGCGAATGAAAGCCTCAACCATTAGTGAATTTTAATTTGAATTATTAAAATAATTAGCAAGAGGCTGCTGTGTGTATGTGGGCGTGTTGCTACGGATTAGAAGATGGAAATCAAGTCCGGTTTGATCAGAGAGTCAGTATCAGTGACGAACTCAATTAACAGACAAAGACAGACATTTTGATGATTGATTCATTAAGCAAAAGAAAAATTACAAATATTCCCGCGCTCCAGCGTCTCTAATGTGAGGATTTGCTGTTTTTGTTCCCCGTTTTATAGAATTATGAATGGAAAGTCTTTTAGTTTTGGACTGTTGATCAAATAAAAGAAGCGATTTTAGGGAGTCAACTAATAGGCAACCTGTGGAGTTAGTTATTATTACACTGAGCCACTGTTTTCCCAACATTTACCTACAGGATCCTCTTTTTTTTTTATCATTTAGTAAACTGACCAAGTGACATATTTTATGAATATTTCATATTATATTCAAAACTGAACAATTACTCCAAATAGTGAACTCAGCAACAGCCGGACGTTTGTTTAAAAAAAAAAAACAATATTTCCTTTTAGGGAACTTTTGAAAGTATTCCTTTTTTGGATTTTTTATTTTTTATCATTTTAACAATCATACATACTTAATAGGCTTTTTTTTTTAAATAAAAACACATTAGCATCCCCTGTAAAATTTCTTTTCAGAATCTTCAAATAAAGATGTTAAAAAAAAAATCTAAACTCTAGAAAACCATTTATCTATGTGTTCACAGAAATAACTGGGGGCCTGACCCTCAGTGGGAACCACTGCACTGACTTGTGGGGTAACGTGCAAAGAGAAACCAACAAAGCAGAAATTAAAAAAATTAAAATACTTAATATTTCCAGTTATTTTGCTTGGTTCGAACACATTGATTACAACTTGTTCTTGCTGACTTTCTAGAAATGATTCAGTGGAACATGACGCAGGATAAAGTGTTGCACCAACAATAAATCTGAAAATCTGACAAATTTATGTTTACAGAAAGCAAAAAACAAATGTTGTTGGTACAAACTGTTAATTTACAAATGTACAATGAAACTGTAATGAGCAATACCGGTTACACTAGCCCCCAAAAGACCAGAATTCTCTTAAAAATCCCAAAAACAAGACAAAGAAATGTCCCAAATTACATTTATCTTGTGTTCAGTTTGTCGAGATTTGAATATTTCTAAACTTTTGAAAGTATTTTGATAGAAAATCTTTCAGAATGCAAATAAAGTGTTAAAAAAAAAAATCAGCAAACCCCGCTGGAAGAAATAACTGAAACTGCCCCAGGTTCCACCAGCTCACGCCCACACAGTATTATCATAAGATCAATGCTTTGTGCCCTCACTGCCACAACACGCTCGACAGGGTTCCCAGGCAACAGGCTCCCCTCCCCCCCTCACATCCACTTCCTTTTTTTCCCTTTCCGTCTGTCGAGTGTCATCCAGCTTTCTGTTGAGAGTCACGATGTATGCAGGGTCACGACCCGGCTACTACACAAGCGCACAGATTGACGTCTATTAGCACTCGGGTGGATGAAAGGATGAGGTGTGTCATTATTCATCATTCTCCCATTGACTGACCGCAGCCAGTTGAGTGGGGGGTTTAAAAAAAAAAAAATATGGTTATTTTTTTACAGTGGAAATCTGTGAGAGATCCTGTGACGGAGGTTAAGGGTGCTGCAGGTGCTCCTATATGCAGGCATCATTCAAATCAGCGTACAGCTCCAGTTTTCACTACTTATAGCTACAGTAGAATCTCACAATATGTAAGTGGCCATTTTAGCAAAAGGTTTAATCGATCAGTTCGTCTATTTTATGTCGTTCAGATCGAGTTCATGTAATTAATCATCAGTTGGACTTATTGTCACATACTGCTAGGAAGCACGGCCACATCGTTCCTACTGGTTTTACATTATACGTTGGCTGCTGTGATTATGAAACAGGGTTAGGAGTTAAATTGTATTCTATTCGCTGTTTTAAAAAAAAAAAAGGTCTTAAAATGTCTTAAATTTAACTTTATGAACCCTGCACAAACTCTGCAGTATCACTGGAGTGCTACTGCCCACGTATTTATTAGGGCTTTGGTTAGAGATGGCTCTAAAGTTTTCTTGCTTGTGTAAATTGGTCAAAACACTGTTAATACCAATTATTATTATTAACAAGTTTCTCTCAGCAGCCCCAGACTCGACTTACGACCATAAAA